AAACAACATGTACTTAATGTTATAATGTAATACACAGGATGTCTTAAACAGGTTGTTTTATATGCATTAAAGATGAGAATTTCAGCCTTTTGGCAAACTTTTTCTAGATTAAAACAAATTTCACCTTTGTTTTTTAGCCAAAGTTGATGTTCATGTCTTATTTGCACAAAACCCACATTTTACCATTACAAAACAAAGCTATCACATATGTTTATTTAGGAATTGTATATTTTAGTACATGCAACAGAAGGCAATGCCATAGGTGCAGTAGAGACACTGATTGTATAATATGATAACTTGAATGTTAAAAGCAAAACCATGAAGTAGAGTACTTCAATTTCCTCAGGCAAACTTTATATGAATCCAGTAAAAATAAATTGCACAGCCCTTTGATTAACGTACCAAGCAAAATATCTTGTGATAATTGTAAAACATGAAGGACAATAAATATGTATTTTACTGACTTCCAGTCAGAAATTGTATGGTATCACAGGAAATTTAATATAACATGAACTGACATGATATTCAAATTATCACAGAAATGAAAATTCTGCATTGTCACTTCAGAATTTACTTGTGTAATGGAACTTGTATGGGTCATCCATAATAATGATGATGTCAAGGTAAATGTTTAAACATTCGTTTTCAGTATTCAATTACAAAATGTCTTTCACTGAACTTCTAGACTTGATATGGATTTTTTAAACATGAATTCAGTTGAAAGAAATGTCAAATGGATCTCTAAAATATATTTTTAGTCTGTCTGTTCAAAAATTAAAAGTCAATTTGAAGGCAGTGAGTGATATGTGCAGTTTACCAAGGGGAACTAGCTCTGTCCTTAATAATTTAGTTTTCTTCCTTGGTGTTGTCATTGCTGTTCATACTAAAGTATAGGATATGACCTTCAGGATTTCTTGTAAATCATACTATGGATCTGAAATTAAATAAACCATCTTTTTGCTTCATATATTTAGAGAAAATTCAACTTTGTATAAATGACATTATGATAGTATTTACTACCCTCTTCCCCCTTTCCACAAAGAAATTAGAGGGGAGGGGTATACTGGAATCAGTCTGTCTGTCTATCGGTCCAACCATCTGTCCGACTGTTTGGGCAACTCTTCCTTAACGGTGATATCAATTTCCATGACACTACTCAGGAATGTTGAGGACCATGTTTAGATATGCTTGCAGTCTTTTTTCTCTGGCAAAATATTGGTTGTCATGGTAACCAGTTGGTATAAACAGGATTTTGTTTGAAAATTTTGCCTGGATAAGTTCACCTAAACTAATGGATCAGTTTCATTTTTACAACACTTTAAAGCGGCTATTACCTTAGATTTCAACATCGGGAAATGGAGAGTTCGGCTTATGAATAATAAAATATATCCATGATAAAGGGATACATGCGCCTATCACGTCAAATTTGTTGTTTTTGTACATATTTTAGGCGTCGGAACATTGTTTATCTTGACTATTGTTTACAAACATGTTCACGCTCGGTTTATTACGAAGAAAGTCGAGTGGGTCACATGGCTTGTCACATGACAAAGTCATTTACATCCACCGCAAAGAAAAAATTGATTACGAGGTAAACAAACCCACATGTCTTATGTATGACACTTACTTTTGCGTTTTTCTGCTAATTCTTGTTTGCAGTGAGTGAAACTTGAAATTCACTTGCCCAAATCTAATCTTCACTCACCCGAAGAAAAAAAGGCAACAAAACATAATTTAAGGAACACAAATTTTATTATCAAATTCTATATCAAATGTTTGAACTCATCACTTGCTTTTATTCTTTTACTCATATTTAATTCACTGTTAACGCGAACGAGAACATCAACTTTTTAACAGTAACTACGTACACAAAACAAACTTGTTTGCAATATTTGTGGTGATGTAATAGGTTTTCGCATAGTCTGGATCAGCCCGAGTCTTGACACGTGGTGTAAACAAGGATACAACATCAATGTATCTGATCGACTATCAGTGGATTTAAATTAGTTTTAAGAGTGTTTAAGTTGATAAACGTAATTTATTATGGAATATTCAATAGTCAGAACTACAAATTTCACTCGCCGGTAGGACTAGTAGCTGAAACAAATCACTCGCCGCAAGTAGCTTTGACTCATCTAGACGAGCGGACGAGTGGATTTTTCTTACCCTGCGATAGTAAATTCAAGCGAAGAACACAACTATTTTCATTCAACATTTATCTCATAACACTTTTAGTAGTGTTGTTCATAACATATTCACGTGTCAAACACTGGATATTTGATTATAATCCATGACAGGCGGATATGTTATAATTATAGGGCTGACGTTAAGCTTACCAGTCAAGCAGCAGCTTCACAAATTCTGAATCTGTATTCAGTCCAAGATCCTCCTTCATCTTTCGCCATCTATTGATCTCCTGTTTAATATAAATTCTTGCCTGTCCTCTTTTCTGGTCTGACTCCTTCCTCTTAGCTTTCTGGCACTTTCTGTAAGTTAACTTTTAGGGCCGCGTCGCCTTTTCGTATTTGCGTCCGCCATAATGCTTCTTTTTAGATTTATACGCATGCGCAGCATCAGGGTTACGAGCGGTAATGTATGAATTAGATCAAGACCGCAATGTTTACATTCTTTATTTTTTAGATATCAATCAAAAATGGTTGCAGTGACTTTTAATTTTAGTAATTAACAGAAAGTCTTAGTTTTTTGTAACATACTATTTTATATCTATTTCTCGTAGCTTTTTTAACATTATAGTCGCTGTAATGTTATGTACAATGTGTAAATGTGCATGCATCCCTTTTTTTTAAAAAAAAGTGTGGTTGCCTCAGTGATGGGTCATTATAAATAGGATTTTTGATTGAAAGTTTTGTCAGGACAAACTAGTGGATCTGTTTCATATAGTAATGATAGTGACCATGTAGGGGTGTGCATGCAACATTTTTTTGCCAAAAGATTTGGTTGCCATAGCAACTGTTTCATATGCATGATAACTTATCAGTACAAACATGTTTCCCATTCTCATTTTTTTGAAGAGTTTAACAAGTTGGAATTTACATATGCATACAAATTTAGTGTAAGTTTGTAAATCCATTCAAAATACAGTGTCAGTTCTATAAAACTGCATTTTGTAAAAGACAGGAAGCAGCGGTAGGGGTATTAGTCAGCTGTTTTTTTTTCAGTTCTAGTTAATTGCATGTTTTCCTATTTATGATGTTATATAACTCATACAAGACATATTTATAACATGGTTGCAGGGCAACACCAGACTGTGTTGTTTTATATATGACTGACCCTTGTGGTACATAACTACTGGTAATGTTAGATATCTCAGCTGTTACAGAACAAGATAAACAAACTAATTAATATCAAAGTAACTAACATGATCATTTGTACTGGTGTAAACAAACTGTCTATATAACCCCCTAAAATTACGCTGTATATATCCAGTCACAGACAACATTGATACACCGTCTACCTAATTCTCATGCTACATGTACATGTGTATTTATAAATACATGTTAGTTTTAGATGAAGTGTCACCTATAGGCCAATTATGTTCATGGTCAACATATAGCAGCAAAAAAAAGCAAAATTCCTGAAACTAGCAGCAATTACATAGCTGCACATACATTAAAGGGCTCACATAACATGTTATATAAATCCATGCGAAATACCTTGACTGCTGTGCAGTAGTGCAATTCAGATGTTTAAAAATTAAACCTACATTTTTTAAAACCTAGTTTTCACGATATCTAGTCTAGTGCCCCAGACCAGTAATCATAAAATAAATCCTGTGGCCTTGTTTGTGTAGATTTATATATAAATTATTTAGAGTTTGAAATGGTTTTAAAAAGTCCTGTTTCAATTATTCTGTCATGTAATTTATGACATATAGCAGTACTTCTGTAACAAAGTTCTTTCCTTATTTCAATGCCTTTGCTTCGAGCTCAGGACCTCTGGCTGACAAGCCTGATGCTCAGTCAATCAAGCTAAGGAGTTCTCTCTAGCCAAGCCGTATATTGGGACTGAAAGTTACCAGGGTTACATAGTTCCCCTCCAGGAAATAACTCATACTCAAGTTTCCAGGGTTGTCTGTGGAACAATGCTAAGTATTATTCCCAAGTCCCTATATGGGCAACAATGTAACAGGGGTCATTTCTAATTTCAAATCCTCAGCCAATGTTTTAACTCAAGACCTCTTGCTCAACCAATCAAGCTACAGAGAAGTTCTGTATTGTCAAGCTGTATATCGTGGCTAGTTTTTACCAGGATTACATGCTCACACTCAAGGAAATAACTCGTCCTCAGTTACCAGAGTTGTCTGTGGAACAATACAAAGTATTATTCCCTACATGTTATATGCGACAATGTAACAGCGGTCATCTCTTTTTCAATGCATCCACTAAGATTCAAACTCGGGACCGTTGGCTTACTTGTATGATACTCAACAGGTCGAGCTGAAGACAAGTTCTCTCTAGTCTAGCATTATATTGCAGCTAGTATGTACCAGGGTTACACTTACTTTCAAATTAGTACATCAAGTTCATTGCCTGTTTTGTCTCTTTCTCACTATATATAAGAATATCACTAACTTTTTTCTGTTTTTCTGTTTGTTTCTAGATATAGCAAGATACGCCCCTTAAAATGATTATAAAATTGAATGTTCGAAAACAAACTCTTTGGATAGCAGTGACAGGAAGTTACCTCCCTTGAAATAATGGTACAATTGAATGTTAGCAAACCAACTTTTTGGATAGCACTGACAGTGAGATGAAACTAAAGTTTTATATTCCTTTTGTCTAATCAGACTAATTATGCTCTTTATGCCACCATCGTGATTCGTCATATCTTGCTAGGTAAGCAACAAAGGGTTTGGTCCACTACTCGCTTACTCCCATAATGAGGCAGATCTCTTAACTTTCTTCTTGGTTGACAGTCATTGTTTGTATTTAGGATCTGTGATGACTGCTTGATTGAACTTGATTTTTTTTGTTTTACAGCCCTGCTGATCCTAATCAACATGAGAAATGTCAAATGGGCAGCCAAAGTACAAGTGATCATTACAGCCAGTAAACTTATTGCTCTTGCAATCGTTATCATCATCGGCTTCATCTTTATCGGCAAAGGTCAATATTTTCTTTATTTTTGTAAAAATATTGCAAGGATTATGGTTTATCTGTTTACATGTAACAGGTACATGTATAGTGAAACTTCGCTTCAAGACCATCCAGTCCCTAGAAATTTCTGTATGTGCGTAAAACTTCACTTTGAAGACTACCTAGCAATTAAGACCACTTTTTAGAAAGTCCCATATACCAATTTTGCATTGAATTTCACTTCCTTAATTAAGCAACTGACCAGTCAGTGTATCCTTTTGTGTACATCTGCCGTATATTTAATCTTGTTAGCTTTGTTTGGGTGTTAAACTTTCCACATGCAAGCACTGTGTGTTTCATATTATGAAACTAACATACAAATTTAATGTGTGAAAAATTGGCAGCTTGAGAAGTTTGTTCTCTTGGCCATACTCACTATTCAGACAACCATAATAATGACAACACTTTAGTCCAGTCCCTAAGGTGGTCTTATTAGTGAAGTTTCACTGTACATGTAATACCTTACTCAGAGTGTAAATTCATGTCAATTTCCTAGGAATTGTCTTTCTTATAATTTTGTGTATGCTCATGCAGGTGAGGTTGAAAACTTCGAAGACCCATTTACAGGCTCCGATTACAGTGTTGGTGCCATTGCTATTTCTTTCTATTCTGGATTCTGGGCATACAGCGGATGGTAAGTTAATCTCACATAATCAAGATGTTCTAAAACTTGGTGCTAGGACGTAGTGAATTTTTAGCGTGGAGGTGTTGTTTTCCTGTCCTTGGTAAAAATCTTTTGTGGCAGTATTTTTTAATGCAATTTTAAGATAATTGGACAAGATTGTTATGAATGTTTGAACAATTCAAAGACAAGAGAAAAAGGCAGGAAAAAACACTGTTACTAATTTAATTTTCTTGTTACTGGTGTGTCCTACAGGTTCTAGGTTTGGGTCAGCAGTTAACACTGGAAGTAACAGGTAGTAAAGTATATATTTCATATAGTTTTGATTGTATTTCAGGAGCTATCTGAACTTCCTGGTTGATGAGCTTGTAGAACCAAACAAGTAAGTTGACATGCGAGTGATTCTGTGTGTAATACTAAAGTTGTAATGTGATGCCGGTTCAATCTAGGGTAGTGCAGCATTACAATATCAGGACATCATATTTTATAGATAAAGTTTTTTATTGACCAACAGGTTTGTCTACGTTCATTAATTTCAGCTCAAAAGATGTATTCAGCTGTTGTTGGATGCAGATTTACTATTCAAAGCAATTCAAAGATATATAGTTGTAATGTGACTTTATGGTATAGAAACAGATGTTACATATACATGCACTACTTATATATGCAAGTTATGGATTATTGGAAACTTCATAAGCTTGAATTCTTAATCGCATATCCATGTCAGTATTTTAAAGCATCAATATTTTTTATCATACCTGGCCCTAAGAGCCAAGTCAGCTTATGCTGTGGTGCAGTGTCTGTTGTCGGTCATCTGTCTGTCCTTCGTCTGTACGGTGTCTACTCTTCCATTTAAGTGACTTCTTCTCAATAACTAATAGACGAAATCTCAAAAGAAATCGCATGGTATTTGGCTGTTTGGTTGCTAGGATGAAGCCCGACAAAATTTGCAAGGAAGAAATGACCTTGACCCTTATTCAAGGTCACAGGGGTCTAATTTGTTTAAACATTGAAACAACTTCTTTTCACTAATCAAAATGTGCAGATGCTTGATATTTGGCTGACAGGTTCCTATGATGAATCTTGACAAAGTTTGCAAAAAGAAATTTCATTGATCCTTATTCAAGGTCACAGGGATTGAAATCGTTAAAAACCTTTATACAACTTCTTCTGACTAACCCAAAAAGCCCCAGAAGCATGATAGCTGGTAGGCATCTGGAATGAAGCCCGACGAAGTTTGCAAAATAGAAATGATTTTGAACCATATATTGTAGGTCACAGGGATCAAATTGTCAAAACCTGTGAAAGACTTCTTCTGATATTAACGAAACATCCAAAAAGTAGGTTATTCAGTGGAAATGTGTTTCCAGGTAAAAGTCGCACAAATTTCAAGAAAAAAGAAAGGACATTTACCTATAATACAGGTAATAAGTGTCTACAAATTGTTGTGCCCACTTTGAATGCCAGTTGTGTTTGTGTTGATATATTTGTGATAAACACCAATTCTAGTTTTGATGAACATTGAGTTCCAGGTGAGCAATGCGGGCCCATTCAGCCTCTTGTATTGTTATTGCAGTACTTAAGATTTATCATATTTTCATGATCTTTCATTTTAATGTTTTTAGATATATATATATATTCATATGCCATATGTAGATTTTTGCACATTACAGATGTTATTTTAATAAACATACATTTGTTATATTCATATAGTCTTTATATCTTGGGGCTGCAACACCTAAATTGCTAGTAAATGCTAAGTATGTCATGTTTTTTTCCTCCAACCATATGTGCTCAACAGGTTAGTAGTATAATAAGCCTGTGGGTCACTATCCAGTCTCTCATAGAAACGGAAAATTTGTTTTAACTTTAATAGGTTGGAGATAAAGGTTTAAAACTCCCTGATTTAACACTTCATTGTATACCTAGTTTTCAAGCACTCTCCTATATGAATATATTGTTAAGAGTACATTGAACCCCAAATTGAAAAAAAAACAAGTGGGCACACTGATTTCTGCTTGTTCATGATTTTAAACATTTGAGATCCTATATAAATAAGTATTAATGGTGACGGAATTCTTTAATATGTAAATGAAGAAGATTGACTCGACTAATGATCAGACACTTATCAGCTGGCTAAGGTAATTGTGAATATCTAGATTTAAGAAACTGTTTCTTCCTGATTAATGTGGCAATGAGCTGTAATTTCTGACATGCAAATTATCATATTGTATATGTTACTTTTCTTATATCATAATATATTTTAAATTCAGGAGTTCCACATTTCTTATATATATATATCATGATGTTTGTTTCATTTGCACTTCATTAGCTTGATTGTGGCTCTGCACCAAAGATATGGATGCCCTAGAGTAATCAGTTGTCTGACTGTTGGTGTGTGGGTGAGGGTGCGTGTGTGTGTGTGTGTGTGTGTGTGTATGCGTTGTCTCTTGTTCTGTCAGGTCAATTGTACTCAAACTTTAACCAATGTTTCATCGAAGAAAGTGGTGCCTTGGAGTGATTTTCTGGGTCCTGAGGTCAAAGGTCGGGGTCAGTGTTACTACGAATAAAAAAATGTATTCATGCAAAATATCTTCCATTCTGAATGGTTACTCACAGGCTTTCTCCTTCGTCTCCTCACGGGAAGTGCTAATTCTCAATTTTTTTTCATGTTTAGAGGTCGAAGATCAAGTTTACCATTTCTACAAATTCAAAATGGAAATAGTGAAAAAATGATCATACCTGAATGTTATTCATGACATAATGAAACATGCACGACTGAAATCAAATAAAAAGTCATCCAACCATTCACATAAGGTTATCAGGTCAAAGGTCAATATCAAATTTGAAATATTTAACTGATAAATTTTTTGTTACGACACAATGAAGCATAATTGGTTGAAATCAAATGAGAAGTCGCTCGATAACATGCAGGTCATAGTTATCAAATTTAAAAGTCGGACAACATTTTACAGACAAATCATTGTGTCTAGGAAGCAATAAACAAAAATTCAATATCACTGTGACACTTAATTTAGAGTCTGACACAATGCATGGCCCGTCCTTACATGTGCTAGCTTGTTTTAATGATCTATCAAATATGAAAACAAAGTGTGTATGCCCTATGATCTTCTTATTTCGTACACATGAAATAAAACATGTGATTAGGATAATGGATTCTTGGAAGTAAGGATATTGCTTTGTAGTCATATATACTGTAAGTGCTCTCTTGAGAGTCTATCTTTCAGTAGCCAAGATTTAGGTCAAATCACTACACAAAGGTACTGGTGAGTTCATGGTAGAGATGACAAAATTTATTTTTGAATTTTCAGAAATTTGCCAAGAGCTATTGTGATTTCTATGTCCATTGTCATAACAACATACCTGGCTGCCAATGTTGCGTACCTGGGTGTCCTCACCCCAGGACAGATGATCCAGTCTGAGGCTGTAGCTGTGGTAAATAACATTCATGCCCCGTTCTGTACTCTGCATTAAGTATTCCCACTACAGCTATATTGTCAATACAATTAAAAGAAAGATATATTAGATAGCCAAATCTGCCAAAATCTTAATGCCTATCACTTCATATGTCAGTTTTTCTGGTATCATCATGTAAGTTTGAAATGATTTAGATACAAATCAAAGCTGAAAAAAATCATAACCCTGAAATTATAGATTTATCATAGATTTGTCTGAATCGAAAAAAGGATTATAATTGAGTTACGCTGTCACTTCATATGTCATGATAATGAAGTTTTGGTTGGCAAGGATTGTTTTGTTTTGGAATGTCATTTGGTCATGCAGCCAACCATCAACTGAGGTATGGAAATCTACATATCAATCAAACTGTCTGGAATCTGTTCTATGTTTGAGAAAAAATAAACCTTTTGTGTGGAACAATACTTGTACTTGTTACATTTTAGACATTTGCGGAGAACACAATGGGCATGATGGCCTGGCTGATGCCGGTACTTATTGCTCTGTCTGTATGCGGCACCATGAACGGCTGTGCTTTGTCTATGTCAAGGTAAAGTTGACCAGTCCTGGATTGCTGTGAGGTGTAGAGTGTTCAGATCCTGGTGTACAGGGTTTTCAGCTCCTGTCATCCTTAGAGATTTTGTGTTGTTGTTTTAAACTGGGTTAAACAAGTATCGTTGTGTAAATATTATTTCCAGGGAAGCTGTTGATTTACATGAAATTTAAACGAGACACCATTGTAACATAGATGAACTTTGTAAATCAACAAAGTTACCGTGAATGTAAACTAAGATTGTAAAATCTAGTTTACATTTGACATACAGATCATATAACTTTGGCCATGCTTAAATATCACTTATGTTTAAAGTATCTCCTGATTGTTCACTTTGCTCGGTCTGTAAATAAGTTATCTGGTATGTATGTATTGAAGATCAGTTTTACACTTCCCAGAAGTTTATAGTGCTATCTCTGTCATTACAGGTTGTTCTTTGTTGGAGCCCAAAATAAACAGATGCCTGCCTTTATGGGAATGATACAGTACAAAAATATGACACCTTCTCCTTCTCTTCTGGTCATTGTAAGTGAACGCACTGTTTTTGTTAGCTCACCTAGTCAGAAGGACTGGTGAGCTGATGTCACGGCATGGCTTCCGTCTGGCATTACGCATCCGTCAACTGATCATTAATTACTGAACAGATGAACCAAGTTTGTATAAATATTGGTTCTTGGCCTCTAGGAACCTGAGGGATGGGGGCCAAAATGGGAAATCTAATAAGTTCTCTAAATATCTTTTTCTATAAAAAATGATTGGATTTAATCCCAGTGTGGTCCGAAGCATTCTTTAGTGAAGGAAAGTAAATTTTGAATCAATGATAGGACTTGGCCCCCTTGGACGGGAGGGGCATGGCCCAATAGGGGAAATGGAGCAAATTTTTTAAAATCTTACTTTCCCTTGGATTGCCAAAAAGTTTGCCTGGAGTATTCTAGGATGAAGGGTTATCATTGTGATATAGATTATGGGTCTTTGTCTCTTAGAATGGAAACGAAGAGCTCCAATAGGGGAAATGGAGCAAATTCTTTAAAATCCTACTCTTCCTGTAGGAATGATTGAATTATGCCCAAATTTGATCTGAAGCATTCTTGGATTAAGGGAAGTCAATCTTATATTATTAATGGATTTAGGCCCCATGATGATGGAGGGACTTGGATTCCAAGAGGGCAAAATCATTAAAATCTTACTCCTCCTGTAGGAATCATTGGATTTTGCCCAAACTTGGTCTGATGCATTGTTAGATGAAGGGGAATCAATGTTGTATAAATTTAGATCGGGGTCCCCGTGGGAGAGGGACCCTGGGTTTAAAGGCGGAAAGAGAGTAAATTCATTTAAATCCTACGCTGCCTGTAGATTGGATTTTGCCCAGATTTGGTGTGAGGCATTCTTAGGTGAAGGTGAATCAATTTGCCCAATAGCAGAAATAAAGAAAATTCTTTTAAATCCTGCTTCATTTGTAGAAATATCTGGATTATTTCCCAATTCGATGTGAAGCATGCTTGGGTGAAGGGGAATCAATTTTGTATAAATGGGTCTCTGCCCTGTTTTGTGGGAGTGCCTTGACTCCGTCCTGATTTGGTCTGAAGCATACCTCATTGAAGGGAACCTAGTTTTGTACCAGTAATCTTGATGTCAGAAATATGGGGTACAATAGGAAAAATGCAAGTTCTTCAAATTCCTTCTTCTGTACAAGAATATTATCCAAGTTTGGTCTGAAGCAAATTTCATGAATGGTGAATCTGACTTGTGTTTGACCACAAGGCTGGAGCCTGATAGGGAAGTTATTTCAGAATTTTTTTGTCATTTTTCAAATTCTTTGTGAAATGACTGAATAGCTTAATTAGCCAAGTGACAACTCTATATCACTGGTCAGTAATTAAAACTGACCTGTGGTCCTTGGTTCAGTCTCCTCTGGTCAGTAATAGGGGAGACTATTGAGGCCAAAAAAGCTATCAGGATACCAATGCAATAGTATAATTACTGTCTCACTAACATTGAGATAATCCTATTTCATTGTTATATTATCCCAATAGTGTTTTTACCTTTAAAATAGGATTTTTTAACTGGGAAATAAAAAAAGGTCACTGACCAATTAAAGGTATCAGATTTATTTACATTATTGTTATACAAATAAGTAGGTTGCAATCTGATATTTGTTACACTTTGTTCTATTTTTGTATTATTTATTTTAAACGTACCTAAACATGTTTTTTTGTGATATATGTGGTGAAACTCGTCTCGACTCCAGACTGCGTTTACAATAAATTTAGTACCAGTTTCCTCTTTATTCTAAACATTTTTTATGTTATAAAAGGTATAGGATTAATTCAACAATAATATAATTATTTGTCCCAAAGACACTTTCATAAATAAAGAAATTCAATGCAGGCATTGGGCAATAACTGTATGAACAATTTTGCTTTAAAGTAGCATTTTTGTATAGTTAGAAATATCAACAATTGATAATTGTACAAATTATACCTGGCAAGATCTACATTAGGCTAACCACCTGTTGCTGGAGTGAGCAAAGCTATTGCTATACATTGAAAAGTTGACCTATCGTTGCACCATTAGTCAGTAACTATAGCACTCTCCTTTCATAGCTCCTTGTGTCCTGCGTACATACTTAGTTGAATATCACCCTGGTCATTGTATAGTTTTGACTGATTTTCTCTCTCATACCTGTCTCATAAAGCCATTTATGTTGTAGCAATTTTTTTGGTTGTTTCATTATCATGAAGGAGTTTTCTTTGCACCATAAAAACTTTCTAATACATAAATAATGTTTTTGTTTTTGACTCCTTTGACGATTTTGTTATCATTACCAGTTTACTTTCACATATCTCTGCATTCATCTTTAATACTGAAGTAATGAAATAAATGTTTTCACTTCTATATGTTAGTACATTTTCATAAAACTTTTTTGATAATGTTCTACTACTACTTAGGATTTGTACTCATTAGTAACAATGTATTTGTTACAGCTTGTGATGACCCTAATCTATACCTCCACCACCAACATTTTCTACCTGATAGAAATGGAGGGCTTTGGCTTTGCCTCTGTGTTGACCCTTGTGTTTGGAGGACAAGTGTACCTGCGCTTCAAGGAGCCGGACATTCCACGTCCCATCAGGGTACATCACTTTGATACTGCTGAAACATTTCTTTTGTTTTTGTACAATAATAGAGCCCAATTTTCTTGTACTCTTTGTGAGAAATGGAAATCAGAATGTCTGGAGACACTAGTAGTTGAAATAACTTACTATAACTATACTTGAGTATCATCTGTTCCTAAACAGTTGATAATAGATTACCATAAATAATGCTGGTAATTTTTTCACAGGTCAAATTTTTCGCAATTTTTTTTTAAACAATCAATTTAAGTTTCAGTGAGTTCAAATTTAGTGATCTGGATGTGTCTCGTTTCACAAGTTAAATTTTCATGGTAATGCCAATACACCATGAAATAGAGAAAAAGTCATCTCGGTGAAAATAAACTGGCTATTCCGTATTAACTGATAGGAATATATTGTAGGAAAGTATTCACCAAATTATATAAAATATACTGGATATTTTCTGTAAATATCAAGCTGTGTACAAAAGTAGTATATTCATTCAATTTCTGATGAAATTTATTGGAAAATTGGGGATGTGAAAACTTATTTTGTGGAGTGACATAACCTCAGGTGAAGATCTGATGTGTGTAAGGTATATAACACTACTTATCCTTGGCAGTTTATGATTCTGGAGAGTGTTTTGTCATGATTGCATCCTTGGGCAAGATACTTTACTCAATTATAATTATTGCTCTGGATGGCAAGTGACGGGCCTCCTGTATGTTGTTCGTTGAGGTAACTACCAGAAACTACCAGGAGACTCCACCTTGAAATGACCTTGGCTGTTCACGCGGCATTAAACCCAGCCAACAAAGAAACAAAATACATACAAAATAACCTTTCTATTTGCTACAAAATCAGTAACTTTTAGAAAGGTTCATGCAAAAATCGATCGTTCCTTGAGATGAATGTTCTGTCATAGATGAAACCAAAAGAGTAATATCAAACAGGGCGATAGCTTCACCCTGACTTGTTTTAGCTATCCAGATACTCAAGTTTAGTAAGAAGACAAACAGTGAAATTGTGTGTAGAGGTAAAAAAGGTGACACTGTTTAGATGAGGCTTACTGTGTGTTTACAACTTAATAATGTTACTCTACTGGTCAAAATTTGATCTCTGATCTTATTCCCAAGGTACTTAAGTTTTCTTATATTTTATTCTGTCGGCTGTCACTCATTAACATTTTCCTTTGTTTACAACAGGTGATGAATTGTTTACAAGATGTTATTATAAAAAGTGGAATACTCCTAACAAGGGTTAGGGGGAATCTCATATTGACTTAATAAAGGAATAGCGAGCATGTCTTCTGAAAAGGATTGCATCATTAGTATTTTCACACATTTCATATATGATTGATGATGTTGCAATGCATTTGCATGGAGTTCAGTTGAAAATATGGTAGATATTAAGTGATGAATCACTCCTTTGCGGTGTAGGCAGATAAACTTTCTGCTTATTCTCAAAATCTGAAAGGTTGTGTTGAGATTTCTTGGTCTACATCAAACAGAGGTGATAGGTCTGTTATTTCTACTTTGTGCTTGTTGAAATTTACAATTGAATACTTTCCTCTTTTTCTTCTAGGTACCAATTGTTCTGCCAATTTTCCTCTGTCTAATCAGTGGATTCATTGTAATTCTGACATTCTACCAGAAGCCTGCAGAGAGTTTTGTGGCCCTGTGCCTGGTTGCTGGAGGAACAATCTCTTATCTAGTACTGCCGTACCTGCCAAAACCGATCACAGACAAAATAGGTTTGTACAGTTTGGTGACTAGTATGTTAACCCAGGAGATTATCGGTATATTGGGCGGATTCTTCGATGTTATTCTACTGAGGGGGTATTGTAAAGACAAAAATAGATCTGTTGCCCTCATTGCTTGGGATCTTTATCTTGTTTCCATCTCAACACCTGCCTTCATCTGACCTATTTGCCCTGTGACCCTTTGTAACCTATTCATTGACTGTTTGTAGTGTTTTACTTTTAATAGTGTATTAGGTGCAAGTAAGAATTATACAATATTGACCAGTTGTCTCATTTAGCATGTGACATTTAGTGACCTATCTATTGACCTTAAAGATGTTTAAATGAAAAATATACCATGCTGACAATTATTTTAATCGATTAGATGCACTTCTTGTGTTTATGTCCCTTTGTCCATCTTAGAATAAAGGTTTGTGTTAAGACCATTAAAATTTCATGTTCAGAAAAACATGATTTAAGTTATTTCTGCAGACAGAATTTTTCATTGTGGGCTCTTTGATATCTCAATATCCAATAATTAAAGCAGGGGCAGGGACATGTGTGTTAGGCAGATTATCTCACAATTGTGATTTAGGATAAAGCAGTGAAATATGTGTGGCAAGAGTGGGATGAGTGCTGTATGCTAAATATTTTTTCTGTCAACAGATTCATTCACATGTATAACTCAGAAACTGTTGATGGTGCTGCCTCCAGACAATCCAGATGAGGTCAACTGGGAGTGAGCTGGTCGCCTGGAATATTAAATGAGGAAAGTTTGGCAGGAAGAAAGATTAGTGATAAATTGCAAAAGAATGAACTTTACAAATCTCTGGAAATTAAAGCAGGGATGGAAAGGGAGGAGAGTGATATTGATGTTTGTGTGACACTGTTACAGAAAAAAGTAAATGCAGAACAGCTGAGGTCAGGGGTCAATTCAAAAGACTTTTAGGGAAAAGTGCTGGAGTAAAAATCTCATGTGTTCAGCATTGCAATTTTTGTTTATTCAGAAATATTTGCCCAATGAAGATTTATGATTGTTGATCAGCATTACAATCACTCGCTTTTTTTTTTCAGATTTTAAGTTTAGTCGTAACAGTAGACAATACTATTGATGCTGCAGTTGCATCAGAACAGGAAATTTTGATAAACAGAAAAAATTGTCTATCTAAATCTTTAATACATGTCTTAAGTGATAGTTTAAAATTTAATCTTAATAGGTCAATTTACAGTTTATTTTCTAAATATTGACTGCTGATAATTTATTTCCCAGTGATAAGAAATCATTCTCAAATAACCAAATATTTCAAACTGAAAGCAAATGAAATACGAGAATTTTAAAGAAATGTATTCTGATCATCTTCGTAAATTTGAACACAGTTGATTCTTTAAGATTTACAAGAGATTTGAATTTGTGAATCTGATGAAATGTTAATTCAAACCAAAATAGATCTTTTGTAATTATTGAAGAAAATCACAAAATATTTTGCAGAGATTTTGAAAATGTTCTTTAGACAATGGACCTTTTTTCTCCTTGAAAAGGACTTTCAAAATTGTGTTGACAGATTTAAGACATCCGTTTCTAAAAAAAGGTAGCAGCTTAATATAATATTTTTTTCAATCTTGTTTTCTTGTAAATCATTGTTTATTTCTATCATTTGTTTTTAAAAATGTAAGAATCTCTGAAGACAATTATGACTCTATTTTGCTTTAATTTTTTTTTCCAAATTTTTGATTATTTGGTTTATGCTGTAATATGTCTAGAATCTCAACGGACGAGTTATTGGTAAGGTGCTTGTTTGTTTATCACTGAATGTTTATACGTCAATCCAGTGATGTTTTTCTTAAACTGGTAATGATGTAATTTACATTGACATAATTTCTTTTTATAAAATATCTATCATACATGGATTTGTCGCATAATAATTGTGTCACAGACCTAGTGCTCTGGTGTATACAGTGACTGGAGTGGTGCATTCGAGAAATTTTTTTTGTTGAAATAGAGAGAAAAGAAATAAGTGTACTGATAAAAAGAATATATTCATATTATATATTTATTGATAAGTTTTCTTGTCATATGAATGAGAAAGCAACATTAAGTTAACAATATTTTTACATCTTTAATAGATAAACTTTTAGTTGCATACTAATTCTACCAAGACAGACTATTACCTATGATTGTGAAGTTAGTTTTGTTTTTTTCTCAAGTATTTAGAGTGTATAGATTTAACACCATCATATGCAGGGTGATTGATTGTTTTAATCATTAATGTATAAGAATCAATCACAACAAATGTTGTGTCCCAACCCAATAGAGTGCAAAACCGGTCTACTTACAGCTCATAAATCATAAGTCTGGATGGGATACTGCAGTGGTTGATTCCTAAAAATAGATATTGTTTTGTTCTTATGACTGCATTACCTAGTACCTGGCAAGGTCTACATTACCTAGTACATGGCCAGGTCTACATTACCTAGTACCTGGCTAGGTCTGCGTTACCTATTACCTGGCGAGGTCTGCATTACCTATTACCTGGCAAGGTCTGCATTACCTAGTACCTGGCCAGGTCTACATTACCTAGTACTTGGCCAGGTCTGCATTACCTAGTACCTGGCGAGGTCTGCATTACCTAGTACCTGGCCAGGACTACATTACCTAGTACCTGGCGAGGCCTACATTACCTAGTACCTGGCGAGGACTACATTATCTAGTACCTGGCAAGGTCTGCATTACCTAGTACCTGGCGAGGTCTACATTACCTAGTGCCAGGCCAGGACTACATTACCTAGTACCTGGCCAGGTCTGCATTACCTATTACCTGGTGAAGTCTGCATTACCTATTACCTGACCAGGTCTACATTACCTAGTACCTGGCCAGGTCTACATTACCTAGTACCTGGCCAGGTCTACATTACCTAGTACCTGGCCAGGTCTGCATTACCTAGTACCTGGCGAGGTCTGCATTACCTAGTACCTGGCCAGGTCTACATGACCTAGTACCTGGCCAGGACTACATTACCTAGTACCTGGCCAGGTCTACATTACCTAGTGCCTTCGAGGTCTACATTACCTAGTACCTTCAAGGTCTGCATTACCTAGTACCTGGCCGGGACTACATTACCTAGTACCTGGTCAGGTCTACATTAACTAGTACCTAGCCAGGACTACATTACCTAGTACCTGGCAAGGTCTACATTACCTAGTACCTGGCAAGGTTTGCATTACCTAGTACCTGGCAAGGTTTGCATTACCTAGTACCTAGTCCCTGGCTCTTTAGGTTAATGTTTGGTGTACAATTCCCATAGATATAACAGTTACTTCAAGTCAGATATATAAATATTGAGTTTGCGGCATCTGAATATCTGCACTGTGAGGACTGGTGATTTCAGCATTTAACTGCATCTTACAAGCTTCAGTCAAGATAATTCATATCATATATTCAAATGAACCCATCTAATTGTGCAAACAACATAATGTTTATTCAAACATAGCAACTTGTTTTCTTTTGATATCTGAATTGATAAATAGGATATTAGAAGAAATGTTTGTCTGCAAGTGTTAATGTAAAATGTAATACCATCCTGATGGAAACAGTTTGTTACATAAATACTGAATGTTTGGCTGGTAATGTATGTATAGGCTGTGTTAATATATGAATTAGTGACAACTGTTATGTTTTACTGACCTTACCTGGACAATATTTATAGGTGGAATTTTAGCCAATCAGATATTGACATTTAGTAGGCTAACAGAGTTGTATCAGATCAAGAAAAACAACTCTAGAAGCTAGGCTACCGATTAGTATATGTAAATGATTTTGCTTGTTGTGCTGGTTGTATTATTGAAGTCCTACTTACTCAGTCTGATTGTTTAGATGTTAGTCAGTGTTTTTTTCTTTCTTTGGTTTCAATATACATACACTGTACAGTATTAGATAAATTATCAGTGTGCTTTGGTTTTGAAATTTTTCTGTTCAGTATATCTGTTTACTGTGACATTCCCATTCAGTTGTGAATTTCAGGTCATTCGGATTGGTTAAACATACATGTTGATATCACCTGAATATCATGTGACCCTTACAAGAGGATTTTTATGTATATATATTTATGCGAAGAACATGAATTTTAGTTCAGTCAAGCTTTTTTAATGACAAGCATGTGAATAAAAAGTTACAACCAATTATATAGTAGCAATAATGAAACTAAAAAGGATATCACAGTTACTACTAATCAGCTTCAAACACTGAACTAAATCACAGCATGCTTGACACACAGTACTTTCAGTGTGCTGTTGTAGTACAGACGATAGTAAAGAAAGCTGTATAGTGGATGATATTGATCTTAATTAGCTTACTTTTGTCAAATTAATATCCATATCAAACTGTATTAGATTTATGATCAAATATCATCCTTTTTAGTTAAGCGTTCTTTATTTCGATTCATTCTAAACACCTCTGACTACAATGCTTTATAATATTGTTGAACATTGCAACCTGTTTTGTACACTTCTAGAACATTCAATTTGATAATTGTAGAATTAACACAAGTTCATAAGTTGGCGATGTAATGAAAACTTTCAAAGTTGGAACCTTGAATACGAATGTCTCTGTACCTGTTTGTTTTTGAAACCTGATATCTGATAAGTTTAGTGTAGACAAATTCCTTTGTACTATATTTAAATATGTGTTTAAGACAAATGACACACTAAGTCACTTTGTCCTTAGTATTACCAAGAATTGGCATGGTGAAATGTTTCCCAACGCATGAAGTCATTGTCAATTTACATTGATCAGTTTTAGATATGTAAATAAATGTTTATATTAAATGTGTTTACAATTGTACAACTTGATGTATTGTGTACTGTCCTCAGTCTAGAGTTATTAGGCGTTTTCTTTGTGTGTTTGGTAATTGTGGCATGTACCTGTACTGAAGAAGTGTTAATATTTTATCTGTAGAATAGTTCTGTGTGAAGTGTAAGTGCACCCCCACCCCCCACCCCGTGATTGCTGTAGATATGGATTTGACTTCCTCTGTAGGGATAACTGGAGTTAACCACTAAATTAGATCTGAGAATTATTGTGTATTATCTCTGCAGATTTTTGTATATCAAAGAAGAGAATGTTACATGATTTTTTTTTAAACACAAATTAGTGCATCACTTTCAAAGTGCCTTTTTTGTTTTGAGCATCATTGAACCCAACCATTATAGTTCCAGGATCTGTTCAGTTCATTTGCCAGGAGTTATAATACTGTTGGATTGTTATCAAGATAGATTTTATGAAGAGTGCTTGCTTATTTAGCTGTTTGTGAGATCTGTAGAGATTCTTTCCTTGGTTACTTAGCTGTTTGTGAGATCTGTAGAGATTCTTTCCTTGGTGACGTAGCTGTTTGTGAGATCTATAGAGATTCTCTCCTTGGTTACTTAGCTGTTTGTGAGATCTATAGAGATTCTCTCCTTGGTTACTTAGCTGTTTGTGAGATCTATAGAGATTCTCTCCTTGGTTACTTAGCTGTTTGTGAGATCTGTAGAGATTCTTTCCTTGGTTACTTAGCTGTTTGTGAGATCTGTAGATATTCTTTCCTTGGTTACGTAGCTGTTCGTTAGATCCATAGAGATTCTTTCCTTGGTTACGTAGCTGTTTGTGAGATCTATAGAAATTCTCTCCTTGGTTACTTAGCTGTTTGTGAGATCCATAGAGATTCTTTCCTTGGTTACGTAGCTGTTTGTGAGATCTATAGAGATTCTCTCCTTGGTTACTTAGCTGTTTGTGAGATCCATAGATATTCTTTCCTTGGTTACGTAGCTGTTTGTGAGATCTATAGAAATTCTCTCCTTGGTTACTTAGCTGTTTGTGAGATCTATAGAGATTCTTTCCTTGGTTACGTAGCTGTTTGTGAGATCTATAGATATTCTTTCCTTGGTTACTTAGCTGTTTGTGAGATCTATAGAGATTCTTTCCTTGGTTACGTAGCTGTTTGTGAGATCTATAGAGATTCTTTCCTTGGTTACTTAGCTGTTTAAGAGACCCATCCCATGGTGTATATACATATTGATTGTATGTACAGATATATGTATTGTATATCTGGTTGAGATCTGTGCTACTCTTAGGTGTAATGCAAATATATATCTCTCAGCCATTTCTACAGCTAGCATATTGTTTTAGAGTAACCACTTAAATAATATTGAGGAAAAGTAGACTATAACTATCATGTTAAATGGTAACACCAACTATATGTATTAATGTCAAATGATGTTATCACTGACAAGTTTGTTATGTAGTGTTAGTACGTTTATAATATTCATTGTCCTGTACTGAAGTGATCTGATTATCATGAATTTCATTGATTTGTTAAGAAAAATTAGAAGAACATTGTCACTTTTCATATAATGTGGGCACGTTTTGTTTCTTGCAGTTTTTACTAAAGATATGTACAGTATATATTTGTATGCATTTATAGTGGAATGTTATGTTTATACTGCATTTAAGATATTTTGTGTCGTCTAAAATAACTTCCTGTTGTATGATAATGATGAATTGTTTTTCGACGTTGACATTGTTATCATGACATTTTGGCTTTGTGACAATCATACAAACACATATCAAGTAAAATGTGGAGGAAGCATTTTGATTTCACACTCATAAAGTGGTCTTTATTTGGCTATTGTCATGCATTTCTGGACTCCAGCTAAAAAAATGTGTGCTATCTGCCTTGTCACCTCTAACCTCTACACTAAACAACCATTTATTTTGAAAGATCTGGGTGATTTGAGAAATTTGTTTTTCAAAATATCTGAAGGTATGATGTTGGGTTCACAGGAAACTCTGGTTAAAAGTAAAGCTGAAAGCATGGCATAATGAATGAAATGTGTCAAGGCAGTGTGTTAACAGACTAGCCAATGTGTTACAGTAACGATTCAAGTCCATTTTCATATTTGACCAGTTAAATCAGGGTTGTTTGTTTATTAAATAAGGGCGTTCATACTGATGTAATTTTGCTTTCTAATGAGCTTTGACGAGGCCTTTTGAGGCCTGTGTTAATGGTTGTAGGTCCATCCCTTTTTATGCTGGAGATATTACATTTTATGTACCGATGAATCAGTATGTCTGCATAAATGAACAGGCTGGTGGTTTCTACTTAAAGTTGGTTTTCTTTTATTCCATGTATTGATTATATCCTTCTACATCAACTATCCAACAATTATTAGCAGACAATGTTTTTTATCATTTAATGGGAAACTAATCATTTGAGGTGGTAGGATGAAAATAATAATGAAAAATGACATTTTGCATGAGAATATTATGTTGATAGTGATATATGCAGTGCCTGTGCTGGTTAACATATAACCCACTTTGGTAAAAAGAAAAAGAGAAAGCAAAACAAAATCAAACAAAATCAGTGAAAAAAAAAAAACAACACATACACATTTTGTCGGAAATTCTCATAATGATATTCAGGAATAATTGAATGGAAACGGCATTTGGTGGTTGTGTTTGCGTGTAAAAATGTGTTATAAAAGGGTGTATGTGTGTGGGAAGGAAGATGCCTTAGTAGAATTAAATCATGTTGTTTTTCTCTGCATCCCATTTTGTAACTTTTTAATTGAAGATTCTTCATTCAATATTAGAGCTGACTCCAATTTGAATTCATGCATTTTCCATAGATACATGTATCTTTAACAATACAATAATTTCAAACGATCAAATAAATAAATTTGTCCTTTGTAAACTTGAGGCTGATAATAAACCATGGCTGTTAAGTCTACAGTGTAATCTGTTGTATCTGTAAACGTCACTACATCCCTGAGACAAAGCTGTTCAAGTCTACAGTGTAATCTGTTGTTTCTGTAAACGTCACTACATCCCTGAGACAAAGCTGTTCAAGTCTACAGTGTAATCTGTTGTTTCTGTAAACGTCACTACATCCCTGAGACAAAGCTGTTCAAGTCTACAGTGTAATCTGTTGTTTCTGTGAAGACAAACCTGTTCAAGTCTACAGTGTAATCTGTTGTTTCTGTGAAGACAAACCTGTTCAAGTCTACAGTGTAATTTGTTGCTTCTGTGATGACAAACCTGTTCAAGTCTACAGTGTAATCTGTTGTTTCTGTGAGGACAAACCTGTTCAAGTCTACAGTGTAATCTGTTGTTTCTGTGAGGACAAACCTGTTCGAGTCTACAGTGTAATCTGTTGTTTCTGTGAGGACAAAGCTGTTCAAGTCTACAGTGTAATCTGTTGTTTCTGTGATGACAAACCTGTTCGAGTCTACAGTGTAATCTGTTGTTTCTGTGATGACAAACCTGTTCAAGTCTACAGTGTAATTTGTTGCTTCTGTGATGACAAACCTGTTCAAGTCTACAGTGTAATTTGTTGCTTCTGTGATGACAAACCTGTTCGAGTCTACAGTGTAATCTGTTGTTTCTGTAAATGCCATTGCTTCAGTTATCTCACTACTGGTTATAAGTAACAGAAAGTTCACCTATAATTATGCAGACATTTTACTTTAGTTCTGACCAAGCGATGGGATGTTTGTTCATGTAATAGGTAGTTTTCAATTTATTGGCAGCTTTTCTGATCCTTGACATTGTTGATATTTTTCAGGACTTTTGCAGTGTCCAGAAAAGATGTTGTTTTCAAATAGATATTATATGTTGGTATGGTATTTGTGTGAAATTTAATCTCGAGTTTTATGTATCGATATTTGGTTTTTTTGATTAGAAGTATTCTCCCTAGTGTTTAATTTTCTTGACAAATGTATTCAATAAACATCCGACTCTGTAATCTCAAATCCATAAGATGTAATTGGTTTTGTTTTAGTTTCTGTGATGGCCATGTTTTTTTGTAAGCGATTAAATGAGGAAATACATTGAAGCCTATTTAAACAGACCCCTGAATATTCTTACAACAACTTTATTTTTTTCATGATAGTTTTGTAATCCTGCTTCTGGTGAAAACAAGTTACCACATGAGATGTGTGCATACTGTGTGATAAAATCATTAAGTTTGTCCCACGAACTGTTTGATTAGTTCTGATATCCTGTCTAATGTGGCCAATAAATTGTGTCCCTAACAGTATCAAATTCAATGGGCTTCAATTTGTATACAACTATATTGGATAGCTGGCTTAAAAGGATTACTTTAATTTATTGGACTTGTAATGATGCAGCTGTATATAGAATAGTTATATTGATTGATTTTTTATTTCTTCATTTAAGTAAATACTGTGAATAATTTTGTTACAACTCTGTCTTTCAGTAAACATCTAATGTGTTTAGTAATGAAGTAAAATAAGTGTAGCTGCTATTCTTTGCTAAAGAGCTTCCATCTCATTGTTTAACAAACTGGCTGGGTGGATGACCTTGACCTTTGACAAGGTAGACAACTATATATACATTGTGACCTTGTCACTGTATTAATGGTCAAGATGTAATCTGGACACAGCATACCTAACTGTTGTAGGCACAGTAATTGTTGCGTGAATTGTTTTGAATAAAGATTATTTCGCCATCAGAATATGTATTTGTTTCTCTTTACATGATTTCGCACATAAGGATTAAACATGATAAGATTGGATGGTCATCTCAGTCGCAAACACATTAAACAACTAAGAGTTACGGCCATGGTGTTGAACTGGCTTAAACATTTTATCTGCTTTAATTAATCACATGTCTGCCCAGATACGAACATAATAGAAAACTTTCCTCATGTTGTCTAGGATTGGAACCCTTGCCACATTTATTAGTGAAAATGTAATTCATTTCCACAACACTAACAAACAACCTAGATGCATGCAACATTACAAAATACATTTGTCATTTTGTTCTCTGAAATTGGACTTTAGTCAAAAGGATTAGCTACCTTGCTCACAAAATGTCAATCAAAAGATTCCTATTTTAACCTTTTTAGATAAAAATGTAAGCAATCGGAATGAAATATCAAAACCATTTCTTCCTGCTGAAAAGATATAAGAGATGGATATCACTTAAGGGTAGCATACAGCCTTTAGAAAAACAGACCAGGTTCACCTAAATTGTTAATTGGGAGGTGGATCAGTCAAATGGAGTATTTTGATATCTTTACTGCTGATTATAAAAAACAAAACAGAATATAGTTTTACTTACTTTAATGTTAATAAAAATACAGCTTTAATGTTGTAAATATACTGGTGTATATGTATATATATATTCAGGGCAAGTGACCAGCACTTGTAACACCTAATGTCAAATGAGAGCTAGTGGATTAAATATATAGGTCTACATCTGTGTCAACACAGTGTTAAAAGTTGTTGGTAGACATGAATTTTTTCATACAAGAACAACAATGGTACATCTTTATTGCAGGTTAGTTAAGCTACTGGACGGATTTAGAACAACACACTATCACAGAGAGACATGATTAATATTAACTGTACAGGATGTCACCTTCGTGAATAAAGCTCCAATGAACATTACTGATAAAAAGTCAACATTCGAATACAAGCAAATTATACGGGTTATGGTTTATATAAAATATACATTCACCTATATGTTTAAATTTGCTTCAATTTGATATATTAATATGTTTACCCGACACATCTGGAATGTAACAAATTGGAATTTACTACAACAACAAAGAAAGCTTTATATTAGAAATGACTGGATAATCTCTAATGTTACATCTGTATACATGTGACTATTTTACAGGACGATATCGCTTGTTTTAAACAATATCATCATTCAGCACATGTCTTCATTCTCTGAGTGCACCTTGTAATGTAACTTGTATTTGTGCTAATAACTTAGTTGATCGGTAAATTCAATCACAATTCAACACCGATCAGCAAATGAAAATATTCTCAGCAAAAATATCTTTATACCATTATATCATTATGACTGTAACAGCCGTCGGTGATGCTTCAAAATATAAATAAGTCTACAAGAACATTATTGATGCAGAATATGGTTTCTTAAACAGTTGTGAATTAAGTTTTTTGATAACCGAGAACACAATGATGTTAAACTGTTGTATTTTTTTCATTAGATGCATCAACACCACAAGGTGCTCTTTTGGTGGAATTGTAAGCTTTACTGTCAACAGAAGTTTAATTGTTTAACACTGGAAGTAAAGCCAAGAAATCACTGGTAAAGTTTTAAATTCAAGTTGTGCCATGGTGAAAAATGTGACAAAATATGTTTGACAAAGAAAACTCTCTATTCTTAAACAATCCATTGATCTAGACCTTCAACTGTCTTTATCTGGCATCCCATCCAGAAAGGGAAATAACTCTAGTTACTTTACACAGTTCCTGATGGAATACGTCCGCCAAGCTTGGTGATCACATCTTTCATTTCGGCAATGTCTGCAACAACAGGAAAGTTTTATTTATTTTTCAGAAAGTCCTGAGAACATTGGAATATATGATAATAACATCATATTCTGATGAATTGGATTTTGTGAATGGACTGATATTATCTATTATTTTATATATTTGACAGATTGAAAAGAAAGTGAAATCTACTAAATGTATCTCATGTTTTCCATAAAACTTTTTAATGTAACTATTTTATATTAGGAAGTACATGCAACCTGGATATCAAAATTAGATTTTGAAATTTCAAAATGAAAGATAATTTACTCAACGCCTATTACCATACATTGGAATATAGCAGACACTATTTCCAGGCTCTCTGATGTATCCTTATCAGAAGACTACAGAGAATCAACCCTGACCTACAGGTGGTGGCAAATAATTCGTATATTGTATTATCCAGAAACAAGTCCAGGGTGCCAACACATCACTTACCTAATACCAAAGTCAAATGGAGGGCTTTAAAGGACAATGAAATACATGTAACTTTGGTTTACAATTTTACTGTGCATTTATATGAAGGGGCTTATTACAAGACATGCATGTTGTCAGATAAATACAACTTATTCCCTAACTAGAGGATAGAAAATCTTATAACACAACCGGTTGAAGATTAGTGTGTGATGTTTTGATGACTACATGGTCACCTTCATCAGACAAATCAAATTTTTGTCTAATGAAGATGCATGTGTAATCATCGAAACATCACACTCTAATCTTCTACTGGCTGTGTTACAAGAACTTCTATTCTATTGACATTACCAAAACAATTTTTTAAATTATTCCCTTACAGACTTAATACACATCATGAGTACACTTGTACATACTTTGTTTGAGATCCTGATTTTCCTCCATCAGCTCATTGTTGCGACTGGACAAAAAAACAGCATCCTGTATGGAGTCCTCAAGCAGCTGTCTGTAGCGCTGGTCTAAAGCAGCCTTTTGTTCTTCAAACATCTCACGATAACTACGGAACGTCTAAAACACAAACATCTCACAGTAAATATAGATTCTGAGTGACACAAGTACAAAACGTCTGCAATATATGAATACAATCGACCTGACACAGTTACTCATGCAAACAGAGAAAAGTGGTGTAACCACTTTAGAACCAAAATAAGTTGTCTTTATTAACAGGTGGCCTTTACATAGAGGTTCAATTAATATGAATTGTACTACATCAGGACAAATGTAAATGGTTTTTATAGACAGGGTAGCTTTTATATACAGGTTCAATTAATATGAATTTGACCAAAAATGACCAAAATAAGTGGTCTTTATTGACAGCTGGCCTTTACATAGAGGTTCAATTAATATGAGTTGCACTACATCAGGAAAAATGTAAATGGTTTTTATAGACAGGGTAGCTTTTATATACAAGTTCGATTAATATGAATTTGACCAAAAATGACCAAGATAAGTGGTCTTTATTGACAGGGTAGCCTTTATGTAGAGGTTCAGTTAAAATGAATTGCACTTCATCAGGACAAATGTAAATGATCTTTATAGACAGGATAGCCTTTATATATAGGTTCATTTTTTATGTATTGTACTACAAAATGACAAAAAGTTGGTCTTTAAAGACAGGTTGGTCTTTATATAGAGGTTCAATTAATATGAATTTTACCATGAAATGAACAAAATAAGTGGTCTTTATCGAAAGGTTGGTCTTTATATAGAGGTTCAATTAAAATGAACTGTACTACAAATGTTTAGGTGAATAACACACCTGGAAGTGTTGGAGTTGTTGAATCTCCATCTCGTCCTTGTGTAACTTATAAACTTCCTCCAGCTCCTTGGCCAGGCGATTCTTCTCCTGCTGTAGAGTTTGCAACTGAAATATTGAAACCAGAGATTGTCATACTAATCATCAATCAGAAAACGTTGTTACAATTACACATAGCAGAAAGTCTGAATCTGTTTATTTGATGATGGAGCAAGACGAGCAAAATTAAAGTCATGTGAATAAAACAATGATGTAGTAACAAATTTTTAAAAACGTATTACACCACGACATATTTCTGTTATTTAGGACAAACAAAACAGAATAAAACCAAGTCACTATCAATCGAACAAGATATCGCAAAAGAAAACAATATGATTGCAGTAACCACATATGCATTAGAAAATGACCAAATACATGAAGTATGATCTAAATCACACAAGGAATTAAATCAGTAGAGTTTTGACAAGGATTTTCTAACAACAGTAAATAGTGAACTTGATTCTGCAGTCCTTAAATTCAAATAATAGAGGTTATAGTTCTGTTTTTTTACAAGAATGAGACATTTGATGAAATTACCTCTAAAGTATGTCGACAAGAATTTTCTAAAAACAATAATGATGGCATTGATCCTGTGTACAGCCTTTACTCTCGAACCCATAGGAAAATGTGATGATTCTTTATTCTATTTAGATGAAGTCAAGTTTGATGGAAATACCATCAGTGAATGAAGCCATTTGATTACTGATATGGATTTTCTAACAAATACATGCATCCTTCTGAATGTAACATCCCTACTTTTTTCTGACTTTTGGTAGCTTGGGAAAACTCAAAATCATTATAAATAATTAAGTTGTAAGCTGTCAGGAACTACATTTTCTGTTTCAGATTGATCATCATAAGGTTTATATGAAATGAGGAAATATCTATTCTGAAACTTATCAGACAAAATGTAATGGTTTTTATAATTTAGTTTTCATTAGAAATGGGAATACAGCATTATATTAGGTCAGATTATGAAGACTTCAATGCGTATTATAAAATCAAGACAGTGACATAATTCCCGGATGTCTTCATGGTCTATAATAGCCTGATCTTACTTGATAGGTGACAACAGATTTGTTGGCCTTCAGTTCCACCACTTGTATCTCTAGTGCTGCCCCCTCCTGTGGTGTGTACTTTTTACCCTCAGTCATTTTGAGTTGGATCTCGGACTTCTCCTGTTCAATCTCAATATTCATCTTGTCAAGCTCGTCTGCAATCATAGCTTTATGCTGCTGTTCAAGCTGCTGTCGTTCTTCCAACTGTTACCAGGTGTGTGGGAGATAAGAATTTCAGTGATTATTTTCTGAGTACTGATCATGACAAAAACAAATCTTACAACTTACTATAGTCACATAAAATTTATATATAAAACTTGATGATCAATGGGTCAGTCATCAACTTGAAAGTAATCTAAGGTGGCATGGTAAACATCAAAATGGATTTAGGAGGTAGACACTTGTCCATCACTCAGATGCTGACAAATTCAATGCATCAACCCAACACTGATACTGAATACCTATTAAGAAAGAGAAAACTAAATCCTGGTAAAGCTGAAACCTTCACAGACCAGCAGAAATATTCCTCAATATCATACAGTAAAATAAAACCTTCATTTAGTGACCAGCTGAAATATTCCTCAATATCATTAAGTAAAATAAAACCTTCACTGACCAGCTGTAATATTCCTCAATATCATTAAGTAAACTAAAACCTTCACTGACCAGCTGTAATATTCCTCAATATCATACAGTAAACTAAAACCTTCACTGACCAGCTGAAATATTCCTCAATATCATACAGTAAACTAAAACCTTCACAGGCCAGCTGTAATATTCCTCAATATCATTAAGTAAACTAAAACCTTCACTGACCAGCTGTAATATTCCTCAATATCATACAGTAAAATAAAACCATTACTTACTGACCAGCTGTGATACTCCTCAATATCATAAACAAACGTATGCTTCAGTTTACTGGTAACATAGGATGCTTAGGAAACAAAAACATCAAATTTCATCTGATTCAAAACAGCTATGATGTGAGTGGGAAAAACAGGGAGAAATGTTTTTAAACGAAACATGCCTGATACATGATAACAGATGTTACAGTAAAAAACGGAGAACATATTAATACTTAAATCATATCATGCTGATTAAAGAGCAAAGCTGGTTATCAACAAACCTCCACTTTCTGTCTGACTTCTGCACTTCCTTTCATGGCAGTCATCTGAGCCTTGGCACTCTATAAACACAGTACAATAACAATGTAAACAACGACATTATTATTGTAATATCTCCAAATCTTGTTTAATACCTGTACTATTGAAGTATATTTTTTATCATACATCTTCCTTCAGTTTTAAGTCTTAAGTGTCTCCTGTAACAACCCTAATGTTAACTACATTATCTTAACAGACCTATTTTTCACTTTATTTTTCTTATGATCTAATTATCTCCCTTTACAACAATGTTATCCCCCATTATAACATTGAAGTTTTTTGCTTTACTTATAACTTTGCTATTTCCCTTTTATGAGTGTCCACTTTCCGTTATGTCCAGGGCCGATTTTGTTTATGGAGTTGACCAGTTTGACCAGAATTTTTTTTATGCCATATGAACAGACCTACTGATCTTATCTTCCTTTCGAACAAATGTTGAACAAATATCAATTCATTTCTCTTTCTATCGCCTAAATTGCATGACTTGACCTTCTGCTTACCTCCCTTTCCTCGCGCTGTTTATCTTGAACATCCTTTATCTGCTGTTTGAGTTTCTTTAAAATATCTGTTTCTCGTCTCAGCTTTTCTTTCAGCTCATGAATGGCAGTCACTCTCTTTTTAGTCTCAGACTCTGAAGACTTACCTATACACAAAATTATACATGAAAAAAAATTGATGACTTTTAGTTCACTAAAATTTGTAAGAGGACAGATTTCTTTTTCAAATGGTGTCTAATTAGTTTATATTTTAACATTTAGGAACACTTCAAACAATCCTTCTTGATCTTATTGTGAGGAGAAATATTTCATGTATTGACAAGAAAACTCCTGTGACACTGGTAAACATCCATATGACTTACCACTCTGTGTCTCAGTCCACTTGGAGTATTCAGCTATCTTCCTCTGTAGCTCCTCATTCATTACATCAACTCCTTTCCTCTTTTCTTTATATTGGAGAGTGAACTTTTAAAAAAAAAAACAAATTCACAGTTTCAGAAAAGTTGTACAGTAAGCTGTCACAAATGATGCTAGATTTAACTGAAACTGGAGCCAAATTAATCCTATTAAAACACTTGGACAGTAAAGAAATTAATTCGCATGAGAAATTCATTTTCCTTTAATTTATATGTTCTCTAAAGCCATGAATTTATATGTCCACCAAATGAAAAAAGCTGACATGGATTATAGTATTATACAAATGAAGTAGATTTTGTGATCAAGATTTAACAACGAAATTAAGTGTCAGCACAAAAGCATATTTTTGGAAAACCACAAAATACGAACCTGACAAAAATGATATTACATTGTTACTACCTACCATGCCTTATTCTCCTTATTCCAAATTAAACTTAGAGCACAGAGTTTCATCACATCTCCTTTATCTCAACATTATATATATCTAACCTCAAGAATCCTAATAATATGACTTTATCTTTAAGTGCAATGATGACTAGTCAGAGATATAAAAGTTATCAAACACGACCTTGACCTTTGTCTTTGTCAATGGGCAATTTCAAAAGACCTCAATCTGAGTACACATTCAAATGCTGTCCATGCTATGAAATTTGTGAGCAATATTAATTGTGAACAAAGATAAGCAATGATGAATTCATGCTTCTGCAAATAATTGCTATGTTAACGACACATAGAAATCTCAATTAGTGCAATTACATTTCAGCACAACACCTTTAACGCAAACACCACTCAAATAAGATTACCAATAAAACGTGGATGTTTAAATAATGTTGGGCTGAAAATTGAGATGTTCCCTTTGGTCTAAAGTTTTCTTTTCCTTTGTTAATATTGATTATTAATAACTGTATTGAATCCTACATTTTATGTTCCAGCTACAATCTGTGATTACAATACTGATATATTTACCTGGTCTTTCTCCTTCTGTAGATGTGCCATCTTCTCCTGGAGCTCCTTATTACCCTTCCTCACATTGTCTGTAACCCACTCCAGAATACCCTGAAAGAACACAGCATCTTTAAAACACATGTCTTATGGAAAATGAAATTTGGAATTATAGTTCATTAAAGATTTTGAAAAAGTTTGTGCTTGAAATACTGTCATTTTGTAGTTAAAATCAGCCTCTCATGTATCATATCAGAATGTCATGTGTCATATCAGAATGTCATGTGTCATATCAGAATGACATGTGTCATATCAGAATGTCATGTGTCATATCAGAATGTCCCATTCTATTTTTGTTTGACTTCATATTCAACACATTGTGCAAGAGTATCAGTGACACTGATGAATGCTCTTTGACAATTATTTTTATAAAGGGCAATAGCTCTTTAATCGAGGGGTTGCAGGCCCTGAGTTTGGTACACTGAACATCAGCTTAGTATCACTAATGTATACACCAAGTTTCATAACCTTGCTTCGTTCCGGACATGAAAGGATGCTCAGATGGACAAAGTGAGGACCATACGGTCGCCTTAAAAATTATTAGAAAGGATGAAAAAGCATACACAATCATCAAAAACAATAGCAATCTACATAGTTGTTACTCTGCTCAATATTGTTTATCTCTTTAAATAAGTGATAACAAATGAAACAAATTTTCTATATATCTTTATGTATACATTGATATTTTTTCTTTAATAGTATCAATTTCAATGCTGTTCTAAATGATAATTTTAATATCATATCTAGAAGTAAAGGGCTGACACTAGGGTATAGATATGAATTTACCTATACAATAGAAAATAAAAACAGCTTTCCATCCACTTTACTTTTAGCAGAAGATAACTTTTCTGATGTAAGATTTTTTAGGGGTGAGTTGTCTAATCTATGGCCCATTCAACCATACCCAAAATATATTCTTAGATTTTTTTTTTTTTTTTTTTCGCATTGAGGTAGTGATCTTTATTTAAATATTTTTTTCTACCTAAAAATAAATTTATCTAACAATACAATTTCTTATTTTCTACCATTAATTTATTAATGTACCAACATTCCCTTCTCTTTGGGTTTGATACTTGAATTTTTTTTCTGTTATCACACATATATGCTGAGTAGCTACCATACACCCCATACTGAGATTTATATTTAATATTCAAATTTCAAACATCTTCTGAAGATGGATTTCTTTATTTAACTGGCCGCTGGAATTATCAGGACATTTTTTATTATTGTTCTTGGCCATTGTTTATAACTTTGTCTTTGTTTCATGTTCTATGCATATATGATGTAACTTGTGTAATGTTTTATGGGAAGACTGCCTCAAAAATTTGACAATTTATTGGTCCTACTGTCGTTAAAACTTCATTGATCACCATACTACAGGTGCATGTAAATAAATGTTTTCCAGGTTGTCATTTACAGTACTGCATTGTTTTCAGTTACACGTGATGAACCTTATTGGCTAGGTTGATTTTCCTCTCCTCCTCAAATTTCTGGGACAATCGTTCACGCTCTGCCCATGTTGACTGCTTGGCTATCTGTAGGTCTTGTACCAGGTCCTGTTTAGACATGTATACTAGATAGATTAAACTTAACTCACACAAACTATAATATCATAATGTTGACAAGTATTAAAGTGTTACTTAAATTATAAATCAAAAAAGCATGATGAAAAATAATTATTTCACAGCAGACATATGTTAACAACAGCTGTTCAGTAATTTGTATTATGTAATAATGTATTATTTGAAGATAGTTTAGTGACTCAACCTATGGTGTCCAGAATCACAAACAAACTTCCATTCCCACCATGGTAACCAGCAGTAGGAGTGTGAATGTTGTATATTACCTGGATGATTACAGTCTTAGTTCCATATGTAGAAACTTGACATAGATTCCTTACTCTCAGCTTATATATGTGTTTACTGAATATATACTCTATCAATACACACACCAAAGAGTAGGTCATTCGTGTTTGTGGTTTCATAAATATTTCACCAATCTCATGAAATATTTTCACAAAAGATAATTAAATAATTAAGCTTGAAAATACATTTCAGCAATCAATAACAAGAATGAACAGGCAAAGCCTACCTCCATCTTGAGAACATCTTCTTTGTTGGGTTCCGAGGATGAAGCTATCCTGTCTCGAAGTTTGGAGATCTCCTCTCTTAAATCCTGGATAATATCACTGGAGTCATCCTGTAGGATACAATATCATCAGTTAATAATCACAAAGTTATTTGATTGGAAATTTTTATCTAACCTTAGTGTTCTTATAAAAAGATTTCAGGCATTGCCAATTTTTTTTCTTCATGTTATCAATATAATTACAGCATATTAATGGATTTCTTTTGTTGTTACTATTATACTTACCATAAAGTATATCCGTCAAATTTAACATCATGGAAAAAAATACATAGAGCACATATTTTTCAAATCCCTAATGATAGTCAAAAATAAAGTTCATAAACTAAATGCATCCAAATATTACTTCAATCATTAAACATGTACATTATCATAATTCAATAGGGCCACCTCAAACCTTTCTTAATGACAAATGGAAAACATGGAAAAGAGTTTTAACAGAGTCTATGAGTATGAAACTGTTACCTCTAAACTTGTTGAGACCAAACAAAAATTTAAACCTGAATGCTCTTTATTCTATAGTTAAGAATAGAAATAGAATTAACTCATTTATATTACCATAATTACAAAGGTGCTTTAATATGTACATAAAAATTTCCAAAGTATTTATTTAAGAGCCAAACTTATAAATGACATGCAGCAAAGTACTCATAAAACATGGTTCAGCAACTGAATTTAACAACTGTGCAAGAAAATATCAAAGGAATCACAAGAAGCTTTTAATTCAATTTGTCTTTAAACATTGAAAATTCAAACCTTAACTTTTATAGAACTTTTATGATGTTGATATGATTGTCTGTAATCAGAACATAATGTTAATTCATAGAAAACGACAGAATTTACGTCCAAAATTTGAAATCTCTATAAAAAAAACAACATCATAGATGTTTATTTGTTCTGAATAATTTTTGACATAATTAACAAACTAACATCCCTTATCATTACTGCCTAACCTTCAATAAAGTTTTGTTTATCACCATATACATCACAAATTTGATCAATTCCAATATATTTCAAATTTCATGTACAACTATTATGGGATATGTAAAGAGAAAACAAAACAAATGAAAGAAAAATTAAGTTCAAACTGAACTCATTTAGCATGCTGTTTGATTTGAAAGCCTATAAAGATAACAGAAATATAATAACATGTTTTCTGAGATATTGTAGAATTATATATACAAATAAATATATTTCCCATTGTAATTTTCACAGCTTTTTTTGTATCGTAACATAGGTTGATATTGGGATGTGTAAATTACATATAGATGTTTTAAGTAGTTTTTTTATGATGTCTACTATCTTGGAATACACAGTATTTCATCTAAGCTTGTTTACAGATGTTGTTGCCATTTTACTTCTAAATAACCGTGCAATTAACATGACAATTATGAACACATACTGCATGTGTGTTACTCTGTGAGCTTATTAAGAAGTTATTTAGAAGCAGTTAATCAAATTATGGTATTATATCAAATACATATACATGTACAAGTGTATTGTTTTGTTTCTTGGGTTTTTTGTTTGTTTATTTTTTGCTTTTTTTTTGTATTTGTAGAGAATGATAGAAACCCAGTGCAATTACTTTGTTTGAAGTGAAGACAATGACTAGATAAGAAAATAACTGAAAAGTTTTAAGATATAGAAAATGTAACCATGAAATATTTTATATCCCCATAAAATGAAAGTGCTATCAGACATCTGTAGAATGATGTATACAATTTTACTGGTGTCATATATTCCTTTGATATGTGTTTAGTAGGTAAATATGAGTAGTGTTTTACTTTATTGGTGTAAATATTTTCTCCTTTGTACACATCAAAGAGCATATATATAATGTATTACAAAGTACGTACAGCTACAATATAGCCTTATAAGTCTATCTGCCTTGGGTCAGAAATGTAGTTATTCATCATTTAAGTTCAAAGTTAATAATATCAGACACCGACCATATAAAATAAAAAAACTAGATATTTTGTTGTGCAGTTCCAAAAATCTTATTTAAAATGAAGATAAGATCTAGGATTTAAGTTTACACATGTGACAAGTTAAACTATGTAATATATCTGGATCATTATGACTTCCATAGAGATATACAATTTACTTGTACATAATGAAATTGTCACTCAAATTTCAAAGTAAACAAACACACACTGAATAAGCTTCATGCTTATTTGTATGATATTAATATATTTATAAATTTTGATAAATTAGTATATAATGATTTTACTCCACCTGTAATGCCATATCTTAATTTAAGCCAATTAACATTGTTACATTATACACAATATTGTGTTGTGCTGTTAATATTTCCCTATTGTTATCAGTTTGCTGAATTTTACCTTTCCATTAACCAAAGACTGTATAAAAAAAACCAGAATATTTTGTTTTGATATACATGCAACAACATGTTGACTGTTAAACTTAATACATTATTACACTGTTCAAATTGATACTACGTACACTAATTCATTGTACTTGTAGTAAAATGTATTATCAATACTTTTATTAGTGAATATTTTCACTTTTATTTATTTATTTGTTTATTCATTTACCTATTTATCTTATTTATTACATAGGATGTACCTATAACCTGACAATTCTGCTATAACAAACAAACAAAAGAAAGAAAATCACTGTAAGGAAAGCAACATTAGAAACACATAAAAAAAATTTCACTTTTTATATGATTTTATGTGCTGACAATATAAAGGAATTTTAATAGGATATCAAAATTTTTTTTTTGTTGCCAAAAATTTTTTCTACATAAATAATGCCCTTACATATATATCTTTCCTGAAACCCAACTTGTACAACTGAATATTCTGATCAGGAAGCATTTGATTAGAACGGATATACAAAAATTGTTATTTTATTTGATTTGATCCTTGATTATTTTAATCCTTCAATTAAAATCTTATAAGCATATTTTTTCCCTCTTTCCAACAATAACAAATTGAATTGCATCTAAAGGCAATTTTAATGTACTTTATTCTGGAAATGCATCCAACATCTTAATAATGTATTGTACTTTTTTTTTTTTCACGATGCCATTGCAAATACCCCTTGATGGCCTTCAAAGTTTGTCTGAAATAGATATGATGATGAGTTGAATGACAGTGTTTCAAAGAAGCAACATAAAACAAGAAGAACCAGTGATGGCAGTTTGACCCATATAACTTGTCATGCAGGCTGTGCCATAGGTGTACTTACATACGGATTCTGTGTGATGACGTCCATAGAAAATGTGATATGATCATGAAAGTGACATTTCAATAGTGAGGATAATGACAATGATTTGAAATCTATGCAAGCAATTTAAAGGCGCAATCTAATGCTGGGATTATTCTGTAAACATACTGTGGCATGATACAAGCAGGTATTTACATAAACGTCTATAAAAGTGAGAAACAAAACAACCTTCTGACAGAAGAATGTTTCATAACAATATTTATAATTAAGTTGAAAATATTCAACAGTTTCCCATTTAGTATCATATTAATCTCAAATGTATGAGAGAATATCTATATTTTTCATGAACATGAAACATGAGTGTAATATATAGATATATTCTGACATATCAATGAAGTATTTAAGTAATGTATCTTACTGTAGTGTTGGCCATGACTGGTTGTTACATCCTAAATGTTTCCTATTTCTTCAGATTTTTGCAGAGATAGATAATAAAGCAATTTTATCACTTCTATTACAAATTTAAAAACAAATCACTCTCATTCTACCAATTCAACGAGAACAGTAATCTTTAATACAGCAATAGTTATGTCAGCTTTACCATATTCATCTTGACGTGGTTCTTGATGGACTTTGCATATGCAGCATACTGCAGAGTGGCATGGGTCTCCTGGTGGTTATGATCTGAAAGGTCAGAGGTTAGAAAACAAGACATCAGAGGTAGCAAAACATCTAAAATGTACCAAAAACTTCTGACATGGTGTTAGTCAAGGTAAAAATCATTGACCAATGTGAGTGTTTACCTCACTGTGCACCATTAAGTTCTCTTTAAGGGAAATATTTCCTTTGTATCCAGTACATTTTGAACCTGTCTCAAAATGTACATTTTTTAATTACATCCAGACACACGTTTCTCACCTGTTGGTGCCACCACAGCAAACATCATGGTCACTGCATTACCACCCAGGGATTCCTGAAATATGGATGATTATCTATAGCCAATAGCCAACTCACACTTTATACAACCATTTCCTTTATAATAGTACTCTGTGAAAATTGTCAATAAATGATCAACATTAATCCTTTAGTTTAAATAGATGCATTGCAACTTTTTTACACACAGAAATATACATCCATGTTAAGGTCTGCTGTATACAGAATTCTAGATTTGGCAATGTTTGATGTTTGGACAGGTGATGGTATAAAGGGTTTTGACCCCAGTACTGACCTGTAGGAGTCTGGTCAATGTGGAGTCCCTATATGGTACTGCTGATCCTTTCTTGTTTCCTCCCAAAACACTGAGAACATTGAGGATGCCTTGTGTGCTGTAAACCCAAAAGTTGACAAATACCAGTATACACAGGTGGCCTACATATTTGAAAGAGATATGAATGTCCCTTTGTGCACAGGTAAAAATCATTATCGTTTCTATAAACAGTTATCCATTTCAAGATGGCTTTTCAGTAAAGGGTTTTTTTTATTTTTTTGGCCTTTAGAAAATATTTTTACTCTTAATGACCTTCATATACAGGTATTTATTTAAGGATGTCTGTGGAAAAGATTTATAATCTCAAAGTTCACGATAGTTACAACACACACATAACATACCCAGTTGTGCCTCCACGGTAATCTGCTCCTGTAGAATAAAGGTGCGTAGATTAGTCACTCATGTATTCAATGAGAGTTCCTGCTTTTATCACTTTTCTTCTTTTTTTTCAGAGATAAAAAAATGACTATTTAGGCATTACCACAGAAAACCTGTGTCAGTAGTTGCATTTAAGCATTGCAATTTTTCAAATCATCATATTGGAAAACAAACTCATTTACTTTTGCACCAGAGGTAATGTAAATGTACATATTTTTGTGGCAATCTAATTTTAACACTTTTCAAAACAGATATATTGGGCTACAATTGCACTCATTGCTGTGTCTTTGTCTTTTATATAGAAATTATTGAAAATGAGTGAGTTCATCATTAGGCTTATGTATTCAAAATTGATGATGTGTTAAACATTGAATGATGACAAGTACTGAAATAAGAAGATAAACAAAACTTGCACGAATAAAATTTCAAACAATACTTGTTTGGAAAAATTTTAACAAAGACTGGTGTGAAAGAATGCCTGCCTTCTGTATAACTTAACCTTCCACATTTGTACTGGACATTATCTTCATGTTCTATTTTTGGAAATTATGACCTTCACCCCAGCAAGTTGCAAAATGCTTAATACACATTTATTGGAAATTATGTCATTACAATCAGAAATTAAAGATCACTGGAATCTAAGATGATCTCTGCAAAGGAAAGTTTTTTTAATCTAGTGTATACCTGCAAGGTCGACAATGGTGATGACGGATCGGACTCCAACCTTACTGGACTGTCGCTCTCTCTGCTCCACAACAATGGTAAACAAGGCATTGGCTCTACAAGTCAACCGTTACATTGTAGATATTCAATTCTTCAATGATGAATACTTAATATAAACCACTGGTGTATGTGTGGATCTCACATGATTAATGTTGTCATACATCTAATTTATTGATGAAGATCAATTATCTTGATGGAACTGAGCTGTAAGACCTGCTTTATATCTAGATAAGGAATGTGCTTAATTAATCCAAAATTGTATTAACATAAGTTAAGATGTTATTTTTTATCAAACTTACTGATCAAAATGAAGATGACCAGAACCAACTAGTTTCTTTTTCTCTAAATAGTGTACATGTAGAAGCAGGTGATTTTAAGAGAATCGGGAATTTTATTGAAGTAAGGGATTCCTATGAAAAAAAGACAATTTTTCAACATAAAAATGGATTCCTAGACATTCAGAGTATTGGGTGACATAAGATATCACTAGAGTTTTTACCATTGTAAAAGACATGGGATTTCATTTCATCAGGGATAATGAGTCTTTTTAATGCAGTAAAAAAACTCTTTCTCATTTAAGTATTACTTTAATGTCTAGATTAAGGGTTTTTTTTAATTTTTTTCCCTGATTTCAAAGATTGCTAGATTTGGGTTCATACTTGGCCTTGTGTGATTGTAAATCAGTAGCTCCCATCTTCCTGGCTCGGGTGCCTTGCTCATACAGTCTCAGCATGTCATCATATCCAGATACAACCAGCTCTGCCAGACCATCCACAAATCTGCAGCCACAAAATAAAACTGTTACAGCAAATATCTTTCTTTTTTTTTTTACTGAATGTGCCACACCTTTCACAAATTTACAATAACTATCAGGAAATATGTTTACATTTCAGTGTATAGAAATTATATTTTGCTACTTACATTCCCTTGTGTGGATGCTGTCTGATTTTCATCGGATTATTGTGAGGATTCAGAAGATCAGTCATTTTCTCATCAAGAACCTGCATCAAATTATCACAGCACCAATAAAATCATAGCCTTTAAACTACATGCCTCCTTTAACTGCTATAATTTCTATTAAAAAAAGTACCACGAGTCAGCTTAGCCCTTGTAAAAGGCAATCAACCAGTCACTGTTTGACTTAACATGATAACCTGTATTAAACTTCATCATTTGATACGACCATGAAAGAGAATACAATAAAAGTAATCCAAATACGAAGGTTGCTCATGAAGCAATGCACTGTATTATATCCTCCCTGTGTATTTATGGAAATGTGTTTCCTAAATAGTATTCTAATGAATAATTTTAACATTGTTTTCAGTTAAACTCAAACATATCCTTTTTCTGAAAACTCAATTCAAAACTCAATTCATGAAATGAGAATAACTGATGAGAACAGTGAATCGAGATGCGCCAGGCTGATATATGAAAAGTATATTTCACTTTAAGAAAGGAGGAAAATTATTGCTGGTTTTAATATGAAAAGTCTTTAAACACTTTTTTCTTATTTCATTTATTAAAACTGAACATGTTAGACCTATACATATTTTAAAAATAAATCTTTGTCATAAAATTTTATTTTAATTTATCATTGATTACTAATCAGTTAAATGGCAAAGATCAAATTTGCAATACTATTTGTATGTGACTTTTTCTGTATTATCTGATCATATTAATGGTATAAAGATTTGTTAGGCTTCTCACCTCCAGATAGGACACTGTAGTGAAGAATTCCCTGTTACTCCTCTCAGCCATCATCTGACAGATTCTTCTTATCACCTGTTCACCAACAAAAATTGTCAGTTAGAAATTTATTGCACTATTATCACACTTTTTCTAAATATGCATCATATCAATTGGCATGTATACAGACTAATTGTACAGGAAGTGTCCAGAAACGATGGAAACAAACCTGATCAATGGAGTATAAATAGATAACACTTCAATTTCAAAGGAATTTCAACTGAAATTAAACATCTCGTTTATCATTTTATCAGTCATTGTAATGATTTTCAAATGCTGATAAGACCAAAAATTTAAATCTAAAAATAAAACTCAAATCTACTCATTACTGTTTAATGATTTGATATGATTCATTCAGTGGGATACTTACATTTGGGGCTATCCCTGGTTCACTATCAGTACCGTTCATAAGGTAGCTTTTCCCTGATCCAGCCTGCCAAGTTAATGCCAATATTTATGATAACAAATAAACATGAAAGTAGTAACATTAGATGACCCTTAAACATCCAGGTACAAATATATTGATTACCATAATTTTCACTTTATTATTTGTTTTTAATTTCTTTGCAAGAAACACTTGTTTTCATATCCTAAATAATACATATTAAACGAGAAGGGTCTTAAAAAGTTACCTGGAGAAAATTTTACACATAAAAGAAACATATTGAAAACAAAACACAACATGATTTTTCAAACATATTGATCATGATGATCAATTTATAAAATAGTATGCCTGCCTTAATACATTTTCAATACACCCATATCCTTACCCATAAATAACTTCACATTAACAGCAGATCTAGCAAGTCACTTGTAACTGTGGAAAAAAACTTACCGCGCCAAAACTCATTAATGTTACATTGTAACCTTCCATAGCTCTTTGTAGCAGTGATTCACATTTCTCTCTAAAAATCTGATCCTGAAAAACAATTACATTATTAAAGATGTTAACTGTACTTTCATACATGTAGATAATAACAATACTTGACATTAAGACATATTTCTTCAAAATTTCAAAATTCTTTCAAAAAATCAAATTTTAAAATCTTGCCTAAAGCTTATATATTTTTCTAAAGAATCTAAATGTAATATTTTCATACCAAAGTTAAAGCATTTAGATTGAATTCAAGTCAACACTACTTCAAAAGATTCATCATATTGCATATGTTCAGACCATAAACAAGTGGCCCAAAGGGCCTTTATCGCTCACTGGCTTGCTTTGGCTGTAATTACTTCATCCAATCTAAAGGGTTAGGAATTCTAAATTTCCAAGCACATAATACACACTATATCTATTTCTCCATTGGCTGCTACCCTCTGTCCTACCCTCTGTATTCTATTTTCCCTATTGAGCCTCCCCTCTATAGAAGGGGTAGCATTTTAAAGAATTTTCCCTATTTCCCCCCTGCCCAGGGGGCAAAGACCCACCATTTACCCCCAAGGATACTTCTTACCTTCTTAAATCAAAATCCACTTGGTTGTTCATGACTAACAGTGATTTGAAAAAAAAAATTTACAGACAGATAAACAGTTGGACAGATGACTGATAACAGATGGATGACAACTCTTTTGTCCTTAAGATCATGTGACCTAAAAATGAAGAAATTGTAGGTTGTCTCATACTTACATTTTTAACATCACTGCTGTAAGCTCCATCACAACTAAATGACTGTTCCTGCAAACATACACATAATGCTTAATCAATATAATGGGAATCACAAAAAACACACAAAAAAGAAGCCTAATGGGTCTACATTGCTCAACACATTCACTATTTATATTCAAAGTGGGCACATCCAATCAATCTTATCCAACTTCCATAACAAAGAGCTTCTTATACTCAGCTCTTAACAATGACAGTGATGACCTTGATTAAAGATAAATGTCACTTCTTTTCCTTTTCACAAAACACCTTTCCACAATATATCCTGTTTCTCTGACTTTTGGATTACCAGAAGAAGTTGTAGAGAGCTTTTGACAATTTCACCTCTTATTTAGATAAAGATCATGTCATGTCTTTTCGCGCCATCCTAGGAAACTTTATGCCAAATACCATGCCTCTGTGTCATTTGGTTTGTCAGAAGTAGTTGCTTGAATTTGACTTATGTGACCTTGATTAAGGGTCAGTCAATTCATTATTATTATTATTTTTTTTTTTTTTTTTTTGCAAACTTCATACCTGGTGAGGTATGAATAAGTCTTCATCTTGTAAAAGTAACTGATTATTGACAGGAAAAAATTTGATTTTTAAACCATCCTATATATATTTATATCTGGCTTTGTATAACTGTGCACCCCTGGTCCAAGAAAAAACCAATTAGAAAATATTATAAAACATAGAATGATTTTTGAGTTACCTTTCCACCTGTCTCCACAGAAATCTTGTCACCTGACACTTTAACCACAGTCTTGGCTCCTTTGTTGGCTTCATCAGGGGTTAAAGGTCGGCAACGAGCCACAACCTTTATATTTATATTTTCAGGCTGAAAAATGATACAACATTCATCAGAAGAAATTTTAAGTACATGTTATGTTGTGAATGATTGCATAGTCTTCATCATTTTTGTATATAATAAGTACATGTACACTTCATGTATAGGTAAATATAAAATTGGTTCCTGTTGGGACTTGGACATACATCCAAACCCCATGGTCAGTACAATATGTTATTAGATTTCAGCATCTCACAAACAGTTAATTCAAACTGTGCATATTTTGATAAACAATATTATATTTATATTCAACTGTTCTTAACAGCTGGAAGACAAATTATTTTTATGGTGTCTGCATTTTTATAAATGTGTATTAGAGTAGGTATATAGTACAATATGTAACACTAGTACATTGTAATAAATCAATATACAAGTATACCATATGGTCCCTATTCTGTTACTTAAAATGAAAAGTCCAGTGAAATAATTGTAATTACTTTAAACAGTTGTGGTGGAATGGAAATACTTATTCCCCCAAAATTAAAATTTTGCTTTATCTTGAAATTGATACATCAAAACATTACTAGTCAATGAAACTTTATCATTTTAGTTCCTCATTGAGAACCAGTGTGTGTATCATAGCCCAAAGGGTTCTGACTATCTATTCATGATTTTGTTTTGTCTTGACATCTCTTCTCTTTATCTCAATCGGTTGAGAGCCAAACTAGCAAGTCAGAAGCTCTATGTTCGATTCCTAACGGAGGCAATGAAATAAATAGGGATCTCTGTAACATTATATACCGATTGGCTAGTGACAACCTCGATAGCTCGATCGGTTGAGCATCAGACCAGTACGCATTGAAATACTCTCAAATGTTAATTTAATGACAGTTTTCACATTTATTTTACCGTTATTGATATTATTTTGTATTGGCTAATAAAAATGTAAATATTAATAACAGCATGATAAATATGAATGTTGACATTATTTTTTCGTTTTAGAGACAGAAATTTTCCGTCTGTGAGCATCAGTACATGTTTTACACGATGGAGACATCCTTCCGTGATCAACTAATATAATATATTTAATTGAGTATCTTCATATAAGCATGAATCCATACATAGTATTAGCAATTCAAATAACAAAATATACTAGAGTTACTGTATGCCAAGTGCGGGGGACAAGTCGTTTCTGTACCGAATTCCAAGTGTGGGGTGGGGGATCCAATTGATCAAACGAGTTTTCATTTTATTGCTTTGGAAATGCAAAATAATGACCTTGTTGACATACATACCATATTTACGTTCCAGGTGTATTGAAAAATAAATATGTAAGCTTTAAGCTTTTTATGTGGCAGAGTTCCTGGAGGCCAGCTCCAGCAAAGTCTCACCAAGGTACTTGTGTAAATACTACAATATCGCTTACGTCATCAAAACCGAGAGGAGCAATCGTAACTGACATTTTACTATTAAACAAAATTGAAACGCTAATACTTGTTTGATATTTTTCCTTTTGCAAAGGAATATTTATGGATAAACTTTATGTGTGAAATTAATAATACGGAAATATATCACAAATGGTGACGAATGATAGTGTAATATTTTAACACACGAAAACGCTCCCTATAGATAACTCTTCAACGTGGAGGTAGCTATACATAGAAATGGCGTCAAAACAGCAATGCAAATACGGAGCGAAATGCTACAGGAAAAATGAACAGCATTTAAAGGATTATGGTCACCCAAAACAGAAGGCACACGAGGTATAAGAAGAATAACGACACTAACAACACAAAATCATCGTGATATAAGTGATCAGCTGTTCAAAAATGAAATTAAATATTTTTTTAGATTTCCCGCCTTGTAAAAAGATGGCTGAATTCAGTCGCATTTCAGACTCGGCTCAAGGAATAATGGATATATGATTTCTACTATGTTATAAGAACTATATATAAATGTATTAGAATGTTTTTAAACTTTTTGAGTCTATCAAGAAAATGTTCAGTGTGACAGTACACCCCACCCCCAAATATCTACAGATTCAACTTCAAATTTACTCACCTGAAATGAAGGGTAGCATTTAGCATGTCTTTCTGGATTTCCACAGTGCACAGATATCACACAAACCCGTCTTTGAATAGGAATGACATTAAAACATACTATCGAGATATATATTCGCCTGTAAAACGCCCTTTTTCTGTTGTATACTTGTTTGTAAACATACGATTTAAATATTATTTTAATTGGTTTAATAAGTACATTGTCGAATCGTTGTTAGATTGAATTGATCTTTGGTAATGCATTGAAATTCCAACACCTCATTTAAGCTCACCTCTCCCCCAATTTATGAATCATGTTCAAGTAATATAATTTTGTTGTTACTTCAGGATGACGATGAACAGCCAGCAAAGAAAAAAAAGAAAATTGTGGTAGAGGAACCTAAACAAAAATTAACAACAATATCAGACTTCTTTGGCAAAAAGAAACCTAATGAAAAAGATGGAGAAAAGGATTCTGATGAAGGACCAAGTAGGAGTACTTCATCTGGAGCTGCTGGATTTCTAGGTAGTAACCAATTTCTTTCCAGTCAAAAGATTTGCATTCAATTTTAATGTAATAGTTTTGACCTTTTTGACATGTAAATTATAATATGATTAATTTTTGAAACATTGACATTTTGATTGACTGTTAAGAGTTTGATCTGTTCTTCATCACATTGGATATCACATTGACTAAGGAAACTTAGAGCCAAAAAATCACACAGTCTGCTTTTGTATTGGAGGAACATAAGTGTTGACATAGCAGCATGCAGAGTGTGAATTGAGACTTATGGCTACAGATTAATGCTTATTAAAATGATCTCATATAGATAACCTTTGCATGATTGTCTCATTAAAATGTGTAGTGAAACACTCATGCTTATTGACAATACAGCTCCCAACAATCTCTGCTCCATCACTGATCGTTCATAATACAGAGCTGGGACTTCAAATTGTGTCAGCTGACACAAGCACAATCAAAGATATGAAAGAACTATGCTAAATCTATGCTAATAAGGAAATTATGATTTGTTGGTATATTTGTATCAATAACTCATGATGGTCATTTACAACCTGCTATCCACATCATTGTCAATGTCAATATGAAGATTGACCTTATTGAGTGATAATTAGGTGACCTGTAGCCATCATACTTTCTCTCGCCATTTTTCCTTAAAACCCTACTCCTCTTTCATACTTTCAACTAAATTTGGTCTGATGCCCCATTTGGTAAAGGTAATATTTTGTTAAATTCAGAATTTTGATTCAACCTGCACCTGAGGTGCTGAAATTATCTTTAATATCCTACTCCTCCTTTCTGCCTGAGTGGTTTTCTTCAAGCTTTGACCTTATTCATTGGTTAGGGTAGGCAGTTATTTCTTAAATTCAGAAATTTGATTCGACCCCTACAGACTGGAGGCTCAGAAGAGGAAATTAGGCAATATATTGCTTCAAAACGCTCTTCCTTTTTAATGCCTTGGTAGATTTCAACCAAATTTGATCTGAAACATTATTGCAGGTTGGTTATCGACTATTAAATTCGGGAAATTGATTTGACCCCTAGGGACCAGGGGGCTGGGCCTCAAATGGGAAAGCTAGTCATTGATTTTGCTTCATAACACTCTTCTTCCTTAATGCTTGAATAGATTTATACCAAATGTGGTCTGAAATGTGATTGTGAGAATTCATCAGATTTGTCAGACCACCATCTGCAAATTCTGTGTTTTGTTCATCCATTGATTTATTGTCAGATGACTGGTCAGGGCCATGGCCCTCTCGTTTTCAGTATCCCTTATCAATAGGTACGCATACACACAGTTTGAAACTTTGAATATTTTGTGGCAAATTACATTGTAGATGAAAGTCCAAAAGAAGATGATGAAGAAAGTCCCAATGAAGATGATGACCAACCTTCCTCTCCTGAGGATGTCAAAGAAAACATCAAGAGGAAGTTTTTAGTGGAAATGCCACATGACTTTTATGATTTCTGGGAATTTTGTAAAAGTAAAAACAGCAAACATCCTGAAGGTGAAAAACTATTTTTATGCTATACATTCAGAATGATCATTTGATATGTAACAATAATTATTTTTATGTCCCCATCATATAATTTTGGGGCATGTAGTGTTGCCCATGTATGTTCTGTTATGTCCTATCCTGATTCAATATAAGCACCTTGCAACTTCATTCTTTGTGACAGATTTTGGTCAAACTTTATACAAAGGTCAGTTATGAGAATACTTTGAACATGATTGCATTTCAGGGGGTCAAGCCCAAGGTCACCCATGTAATGTTAAGAAAATCACCAACTGATTCAATTTAAACACTTAGCAACTTCATTCTTTCATGGAATTTGGTCAACACTTGGCAACTTCATTCTTTCATGGATTTTGGTCAGACTTTATACAAAGATCAAGTATGAGTATAATTTGGACATTGTTGCATTTCAGAGGCCCAAGGTCAACCTTGCTATATATAGAAAATCATCAACTGATTAAATTTAGACACTTAGACACAATTAATTTTTTCATGGAATTTGGTCAAACTTAATGTTAAGTTCAAGTATGAGTATACCTTGGCCATTGTTGTTTTAGGGGTCCAAGTTCAATGCCTTAGCCACAGGGACATTTATGTCTTACAGACATTTAAGATAATCTTAACTTAATCAGTACATAACAAATAAAGACCAGTTGTGCCACATACCCAGGGATTGAAAATGTTTTAACGTAATACAATAAAATGTATTAATCATAAGATATCATCTGTTTACATGCATCTTTCTTTTAAAGACATCCTTGCATTAGTCAAGAAATCTTTAAAATTTGTGTAGGTACATCTTGGAGTGTTTCAGACAAATTTGATGCCACCTGTATTTTGACTTAGACCAATTACCTTCCCAACAGATTTCAGAGCATCTCTGGAGCAGTCATATTTAACACAGGATCTTCAAAACTATTGTGTATTTTGTATCAGAAATAGAATAAAATCGTCATATTATGCAGTAATGATCACAGTGTATAGTAAATTCAGTTTGATCTTTCCACAGATGCAATGAGTAAAGACTTTGGATTCCAGTTGGTAGGACCTTATGATATCTTAGCCGGTAAACATAAAGGTGTGAAAAAGAACAGAGGAGGAAAACGTCCAAACTTCCTGTTACACTGGCGATACTATTATGACCCTCCAGAGTTTCAAACAATAGTGAAATCTGATGATAAGAATATGTATCATCTGGGATACTTCAGGTAATAATTAGATGTGAATGGATGCCTTGATATGGACAGTTTCAGCTTACATCAATTCTCTGTGAAGCACTAAAGCTACAGTCATTCTCAATTATCCATGTGCATAGATGTGACTCTTTTTAAATTAATTACATTGGTAACATAAATCAGAATAAAACAGACATGGACAACATCTTTGATAATTAAGATGCCTGTAAGCATGATATTGAGCCAGTAGCATGTTAAAATAGAAACCTTGATTTTTTTCTAAGGTCACAGCTGTCAAGTGTTTTGATGTCTTTAAAACATCTTCTGAATATTCAAGAAGCACAGGAGTTTGATTTTAGCAAGTAGCATGCTGAGAGGAAGAACTGTCAAGTTTATTCCGGGTCACCGGGGTCAAATGAGTTTTGATCTTTGAATAATTCCTTTTTAATAAGCAAGAGGCTCATTTAACTAAAATGAATGATTGTCAAGTTTGAATACCATTAATTATTTTTAGAATTTGAAATAAATAACCTTAATTCACTTTCAAGATCTCTGGGTCTTAATTATTAAACAACTTCATCAGAATGGTCAAGATATGGTTCTGATATTATACAAAAATGCAAAAAAGGTCTTATGAATAAGTGGCTAAACAGGTGAGCAACATAAACCTGGTGTGTATCTTACTAAGTCTAATTATAATGATGTAAAGTTTTAAGGTTTTGGTTACAAAAATACAAAGTTGTAGTTTTTCAAGAATTATCCGTTTAACTGTAAAGCTTGGCTATGATTATGTTGGTACATATCTGCATATGGTTGGATTTTTTTTATATTTATTTTTTCATGTAATTGAATGATATGCTTTTAATATTCATGTCTTATTTTTTAAGTAGGATTGTAAATAACACTGTTTTTGAATTGCTTACAGGGATGATCCAGCTGAGCTGCCAGTATTTGTTGGATCTAACAAGACTGCTGATTCATGCATCATTTCCCCAAAAGGCGACAACATTTTTGCTGCTATTAAGTAATTATAAGTCAAAGTGAAAGAGATTGTTTAGTCTGTCATTCTCAGATATTGAATTTTTCAAAGCAGGTTTTATCTGAAGTCCGTCTCCGTAAACAATTCTTGTTATTGCTTTTTCTTGGGTGCTTATGAAAGAATGTTTGTAAATCTTTGGAGAAAATTACGGTATGCACCATAGTTGGGCATTTTTTAAACTTGAACTTATTCCAAGTACTGTATATAGATAAACAAAGATTCATCACCATAATGGGCAAGTTTACGAAATGTCAAAACAATTGCATAACATAATTACTTAATCCATTTACATGATAAATGTGAATTAAATATGTTTAATATTCATCATTCCTATTACATTAAACATCAGATACTGTAAACAGGAACATTTTTGCCCATTTCATCATGAAGAGCGAGGCTGAATTTAAGATGGCAAAAAATGGTTAACTTGTAGAACCCTTTCATGTAAACCTCAGATGGCAAAAGGAACAAGAGGTTAATTTTTGTATAACGGTACAAAGGTGAAAATAATGTTGGGCTAAAATATCTTGGTATACAGTATGTTTTTAGACTGATCTTTAATTTCCTGTTTCAGATTAACACTTGATGAATGCCTTAAATCAAAGAACTTTGATGCAGTTAAGAAGAAGAAATTGCAGAGCTTTCAGGAGGATTTGAAAGACTTTGCTAACAGTAAAAAATATTCCCTGGACATGAAAACCAAAAGTATGAAAGACCGGGATAAGAAGGTTGTGTGCAAAACATTTCATGGTGCTGGGATGGTCGTACCACTGGATGAAAATGAGGTTGGATATCGAGAAGTTCCAGAGGAGCCAGGTAAAGTGACAATGTGATGTAACAGAAATTCTTTCTTGTAACTTTTAATTAGGGTGACCCATCAAGTTTTTAGTTTTAGTTCATATGTCAGCTAATTAGAATATAAGAAATAAAAATTCTTAGTTTTGGAAACTTTTTTGTTATTTTGCATGGTATATGCACTCATTTGAGATTGTAGGCCTTGCCTTCTAATAATAAATGAAAGAAGTTGTTTGTGTTCAGTGCAAATTTGTAAAGGATACCAGAAAGATACCAGTCTAATCATGGCAGTTTCATTAATATTTATACCCCACCCTATGTTTCCATGTTTTGTATAGGACCTCTTAAATGTACCATGAATCAGGGATAGAAGCATTTTATTTTGGAGCCATGGCAACATTTTACTAGAGTAGCCTGAATTGTTACTGCAGTAAAGAAATATCCCGAAGAAGATTTGATCATGATGTTGATAGTTTTGTGAAATTTCAGCGGTATACATTCTACCACAATTTTCGTTACACCTGACCATAAAAAAAATTTTCAACACCATGATTCAATTTTGTTTCTTGAATTTTCTTTGAAATATGAATATGTGACATTCATTTATAAATTCATATAATATGCATTATATTTTCTATTTCTGATGCAGAATAAATTGTTGTATTGCAGCTGACCTGAAGAAAATGTTCAAAGCAGTTGTGGAAGCAAAGAGTGAGAGTGACCGAGATAAAAAGATGGAGGCAATTCAGGAGCTTGTGACATTGGTACAGTTTGCTAATGATGAGTGTGATTATGGTGAAGGTTTGGAATTAGGACTGGATTTGTTTAGTTACGGGGGTGAGCCCCTGCACACAATTATTTCACATCTTCTTCCTCTTGCCTACCAGTTACTGGGCCGACACGAGTATTCACAGATTATAGAGGCTCATCTCAAACGTAGGAGTCGCAGTGCAAATCTCAGTGAACTGGAATAGATGCAGATTTCTAACTACTATACAAACGTAGGAGTCGCAGTGCAAATCTCAGTGAACTGGAATAGATGCAGATTTCTAACTACTATACAAACGTAGGAGTCGCAGTGCAAATCTCAGTGAACTGGAATAGATGCAGATTTTTAACTACTATACAAACGTAGGAGTCGCAGTGCAAATCTCAGTGAACTGGAATAGATGCAGATTTCTAACTACTATACAAACGTAGGAGTCGCAGTGCAAATCTCAGTGAACTGGAATAGATGCAGATTTCTAACTACTATACAAACTGGAATGGCATTGATACCTCACAAACTGGTTTAAATGCAATTATTCTTACAGTGCTGTATACATCTTGGATATTTATATCCATTTCAATTTTAGGAGGTTGGATATATTGATGGATAATTGTTCTTGTATGAGTTCAGATCTTTTTTGTACACCTTGACAACCAGTGTGGAACTGATGCTTTACTTCAAAGAATATGTGAGCATACATGTGTAGATATCTCACTCTTACAAACAATTATAAGATCTTCTTTGTACACCTTGACAACCAGTGTGGAACTGATGCTTTACTTCAAAGAATATGTGAGCATACATGTGAAGATATCTCACTCTTACAAACAATTGCAAAAATAGAAACATATATGTTAAACAGTATACTTCTTTTTTATTTCCATAGAAAATGCACAGAGCATTCTAGAAAACATGAGTTTCATACTGAAATTTAATCCACATAATTAAACTGAATATCACAGTCATTATTTATCACAAGGTATGTTCCAGACAGGTCAATACATATAGGAAGTTTTGCTTTCAGCAGATATTATGGTTTATACTACAAATGGTAATGTCTTGTAACAGTGAAATCAGATTCCTTAAAATATCAACAAAAACAGAAGATTTTCTATAATAAAATTTAGCACGGAAATGGTCTGAACTTAGTACACCTGTATTAAAGTTGTATGTTATATCACACTCCATGTTGTGGCGATGCAACTATCACTACACACACAGAGTATTTCTTGAATTTTGACAAGTAGAAAAAATCTTCAATATCAGAGCAAGTATTAGGAAAGAATGATTTCGATATGGATTTTGTGAAAGTCTTGGATGATGATGTTGCAGTTAGTATCTGAGCAATAGTTTGTGACATCATCACTCCTCTACGCAAGATTGTGCTGTACAGAAGCATACTAGGGTCTTGTAGAATTCTTTCATTTGTCTATCATTCTGAAAGAGAAAGAGATAAAAACTGAAACTGATGAAGAAGTCATGCTTTATTTTATGTACTTAAAAAGTTATTTAAAAGCAAGCATTACAAAATACGCCAGTCCTAAGTTGAGCAACCATAACTGGATGAATTTCAGGCGGATAATTTTATTTTCTAGTTTTGGTTATTGAACTTGACCTGGCTTTTATGGTATTAAACCTTCATGTGAAGTTTCCAATTAATCTGTAAAAAAATTCACGAGTTATCGATCAGAAACCTATTTTGCAAACGTACCAAGGGCCATAACTGTAAATAATGGGCGAAAAATTTTGGTTAACAAACTTGACCTGGCTTTTATGGTAATAAACCTTGAATTCAGATTATAGAAGATGCAAATTATGACTTCACAAAACTTCTGCAAATTGGGTTTGATTATTTACCTGGCATCCAAGGAAATCAGTGGTTTGACTGACTGGTATGTGAGGAGATGGCTGAACACTCAAAACTGAATAACCTGAAAATTAACATTGATTTAGTAGAAGTATTATCTTACTGTTGCAAAGAGGTAGATGTTTTCATAACAGTTGGTATGAGATGACTGGTATTTGCACAATATGCAGTAGAACTCACTTTTTATATGCCACTTAAATATTTAGACAGCGTATTATGGTATGTTATTTACCATCCGAGCGGCCATCATGAACATATTTGTTAAGAGATCGTCTCCCACAGTTTTCAAAACAGATCTTTTTCAAACTTTGTAGACTTAATCACCATGACATGTGAAGATCATATTCAGATTTCAACTGATTTCTTTCAAACTTGATAGGCTAAAATCAATGGTGCTTTCCTTCACAGTAGTTTGATTCAACAATTATTTTAGGAGTTATTTCCCTTCGTTATGTTTGCATTTAAATTTTGTATGGATATCTCATTCTTACGTTTTCACAAATTTCTCTGAAACTTGGTAGGAGTTTGGTGGGGGTGGGGGTGGGGGGATCTTTTTTTCATTATTTTATCCTGAGATTGGACTCTTGTGAATAACATTTTGATTAAATAATATATATATAGCACTTTTTTTCCTCTTGACATTTTGTATTATTATTACCATTTACATATCTGTATTCTTTTTGATACGACAAATCATGAATATTTCTTTGGTATGGGACGGGTGTATATTGTTCTGCTCCGAGGTACTCTTGTTAGATAAGTAGAATTTCTGAAACCTGATACATGTACTCCAGATCCACACATGTGAAAATATAGGACTTTCTCAGCGTCCATTACCAGTTTTTTGCTACGATTATGTATATACATCAAAATAAATGTGTTCAGTTGTAGTACAAATTGTATGGTCCCTCCTATTCTCCTTTCAATGTATTTTTATCATGGCTTTTTTGGAGTCTACTATATTACATGCATCATCTATTAAATTCATGAGGGACTTGGTGCAAATTTATCATTAACTTTGGATATGTTTGATGATAGCATAACACATTTATACCAACTTACCAAACCTTGCAGTTAATGATTCTTCATAAAGCTTGATGGCCATAAGTGCATCCTCTTCTGTGACTACTGACCGCAGACTCAGTTTGGTGTGACCAATAGCTAAACTGCAACTATACAAAATTTTTCTGATTCAAGGCCTCCAGAAAAAATATACTTCTGATATGTGAGAGTACAGTGGAACCCTATTAAATTTTAAACTACTCAGCTGATGTAGATACTTAAGTATGGTAAACCTTCAGTCAGTTCAGACAAAATAAATCAAATATTGTTAACCCATTTCAAATTATGCTTCTGAAAATTAATAAAAGGTTTGAACTATCAAGGTTGACTTTACCTAACATCACGACAAAGTGTCTGTAAGTGTCCTAGCGAGGCACGAAACTAACGGTCAGTAATAGCATTTTCTTGGAGAACAAATTTTTGTTATACTGTACTGCAATATTGACTGCTAAGTAATCACAGATTTCATTTTGTTCTTCAACTTGTCGAACACTAGCATGACGAAGAAACAAGTCTGTGAAAAAGCACATTTGGCAGAAAATATCATTGACATATTGGTATGCAGAGTGTGGATTGAAACTTGATATGACTATCGATCAATGTTTGTTAAAATCTTGATGAATCTTACAATTATTGAGATAGTATTGATGTGATTATCTTATCAAAATGAGAAGTCAAGTGAAACAATGTTGCTCTTCGACAATACTCATGCTGACATCCAGTGGGCAGTATATATATACCGATCATTTGTAAGACAGAGTTGGGGCCACAAGTTGTGTCAGCTGGTGTGTGGCAAGATGTAAAAGAAATCACACTAAATCAATGCTAATTAAGTGGCATGTATGTGTATAATTTGATGCTATCAATTGCTTATTATGGTCATTTACAGCCTGCTACCCACAGTGTTTAAGTTCAATGTGAATAGTGAACACATGAAGCGATTATTGCAATGTTTATGCCTCTCAGTAGTTATGTATTTGTTATCTTGCAATGTTCAAACACTTTGAATTGTAGGTGAAATAAGAAAATAGAAAGGGTTTGATCTATCACTAAACAGAAATATCACCGGGCTGTCTAATGAAATATCACTCGGAGGCCAAAAGTTCATTGGTTCATTTTTTAATATATACCAAGACAAAAACCAGGCTTTCACTGGACCTGCACTATATGTTGTGGTACATATAATGGATATATAGGCGATTTGCTGGACCGGTCGCGCCGACATCCAGCAGTAGAGTGTCAGGACAGAGAGAGACAGATAGAAAGAAAGCCAAAGGGAAGTGTCATAAACAGGTGTGGGAAACGCAATCAGCATGCAGTACATGTGCTGAGTTGTGTTCACGTTGATGTCCATGTCACGTCGGACTAGTTCACAATAAGGACTTAGAGTACAATGTGTCAAAGTATATATCTTCATCTTAATAATATTAAATATCCAAAGTGGGCACATGGGTTACAGAAAAATTATTGTTTTTATTGAAAAAGTCGCATGTTCAAACTACCCAACTATTGGAACTGACCGAATGTTTATCATAAATTATATAGGTGGTACCCTTTAACATATCAAAGCTGGAGTCCAGGAATTGAGTATATGCTTCGACTGAAATACAGTCTGAAATGAGATTTGTTATTCCATTGTTGGGAGTAAATGCTACACAATTAGAGTCTTACATAGTTTGAAGTGCTGTTACCGGGATGCTAGGTACACAGCTACTGGAGGAGCGGGCTTTCCTGCTAGCTACATAGTACTTGTTGATTAGGCTGTCAGCTTCTGGACTTGTCGTAGGCTGACCTGCATATGCTAGCCATAAGAACTGAAATGAAAAATACTTTTTGATAAATATATTATAAATACATATAGTATAGTAACTGTATTTATCTGACAATAAGCCTATGCAAGATAGTAAGGTCAGCCACATTTATCACAGTCAGTAGGAATAGGACAACAAATACTTGTCATGTAATAAATTCTTTCTACAAATATAAAGTTCATGACAACCAGATTAGTAGTTGATTGAATAAAATGGCTCAATAAGTTTAATAAACTGTAGAAATTTTGTGACAATATATCCATCTTTGATTCACATATATTTGAAAATACCAAAAATGTGACATGTACTTGTTTGAAGTCCTGATCACTGATGGGAGGTTCACTAGATTGGGTCTGCCCTGAAGTGTCCATTTTTAAGCACGACAATAGATGCTGGTCAGCACACCTCACTGCTACCTCCTCCCTTGTAATACTGTCTCCGCTGTCCACAAATTGGAGCAGACTGAAAACACTGTCAGAAAAGGGAGATAGATACACATAACATATACATTCAACTTCACTGAATATTGTAGGTAAAAAAACGATACAGATGTAGACTATACATCTAGGTTTTCTCATCTTAAGTTCAAATTGAAAGCAGAAATAACATCAACTATAATCTGTTAAATTAGAGTATTTATCTAGACAACATAGAAAAAGCTTTACACATTTTCCATTTAACCAAAATGTGTTGATTTAGTGAAAATTAATTTAGGAAAGTTGTTGAATCTGTAGTGCAAATAATGAAGGTGAGAAATGATTTTTATGCAAATGACTTACTCCAACAACGGTTTAGCCATGTTGCCTGTCTCACAACCCATGAAAATGTCATCAAAATGCTGAGGTTTTTTGTCCGTGACTGGATCTGTGTAAGCCCACACTAGACATCCTAATTCCTGCTCCATCTTCTGAGGTAAGCCTCCAGTGTACTTGCTTGCTATGTCAATTGTTACTTTCCCATTACTCAAAGCTTCAAATAATCAAATTTATTTGTGAATTCACTATCCAATTGTCTTTTTTATAGTTGTGAAAGTATCATGCAATTAAGGTATTAAATGAAAAAAGATAACTTGGCAAATTACAGACCCTTCCCCAAACCAAATGTGAAATTACTTCCCAAGAATTCACTGTAAGAGAACCAATGCCCAAAGTATATGTTCCATTCTGTGTAGTATAGGAGATACAGCTCGGACAACTTTTTATTTCAAGTAGGTCAAAGGTCAAAATATAGGCCAGAGTGACCTACTTTTAATACATGACACACCACCTCACCAAGATGATCCCCTGCCTCAAGTATGAAGTTCAGTGACAAGAAGTGTAGATATGGACAAGACAGCATTACTAAATGTTTTGTTTACCCCTTTTCTTTATGCTACACTGCACTTTAACAAAGAGAAATCCATAGGTGATCATGACTTATTTAGCAAGAAACTAGGTTATCTCTGTACTTTAGGTCAAAGTCGAGTAGAAATTAGTAGTGTACACTTTTGGATGTGAAACGCAACATTCTCTCATAAAATACAATTACGTTTAGTATGTAAGTCCTAACAAGAACCAAACCATGATATGGTGGTTGGGTGGTGAAATGGTAATGCACTTGCCTTTCAGAGAGACAACTCAATCAGATGTGAAATGGTAAAGTGCAACCTGCCCAACCATATAGGTTTTCCCTGGGTACTCTACTTTCTTTCCACTGTAAGACCCCTCACATGCTTTAATCTGGCCAACAAGCATGATCTGTATAAGTTGGATAACTTGTTTCACAACTGTTGTAAAATAAAGTTTATTTACTGGTGTATTTAAAATACGATGTAAAAGTGATCATGGTAAAAACTCCTGCTGTTTAAAGAAAGTGAAATATATATATATATCCGCTCTAATATAAACTGATTTGTTTGGTATACTTGTTTGTATTTGTTCACATATGCTTTTCTTGAACCGGCACATGTCACCAAGATGGCACACTCCATTTTTTCCATACAAAAGAGGTCCACCTGAAGAAAATGCGAAAAGAATTAGGATAAGAAAGAACAGTTAATGATCATGCTGAAGATATTTGCCAACTTATTCTGGGAAAAGCAGTGCCAGTCGTACCAGCACATAAAATTCACATAATTTTCAATAAAAATGTTTGAAGAAAACAAGACGGGTATTTAGAACACCATATATACAACACATAGATGAATTATGTTGACATAATCGGAATTGAATATGATTCAAGCTTCAAGTAACTTTAACTTTAATTCAGCTTGCTGTTCATTAGACAATTTTAGACATGTATTTCTAGCACCAAAATATTAGAGGAAAAAAAGATACTTCTTCACCAAATTAAACAGATTTTACCTTCCACAAAGTACTGAGAGCTTGCATACTTGTCTTTGGACACCTTGCCAGCAAGGTGGTTGACAGAGGTGTAAACACAAGTTCTGTTGGAGAAGCATTGTGCATAGGACATCAGCTGGTTCAGAATGGATGTGTCTTGACCAATGGCCAGTACATGCAAAGGTCTGAATGGGAACTTGACCTGTGAAGGTGAAATGCTATTCAGCAAGTCAAAACAAGACATTAAACAACAGAATATTTTGTGTATCCTGGAGTCTCATATTGATGTACCAGTATGACTGGCATATGTTCCACAGGTATATAATGTCACCTGATGCTAATGAGTTCTGAACTTACTTTGTGTGTTGGAGGAAGAGACATCAGGCTGAGCAGCAGGGACATCTTCAGTTTTAGGTATGTACCACAAGGACTGACATTTCCTGTAATTGGGGATTTTCAAAAGAGCATATGATCATATATATTTTATAGACAAATCAATATTTGTAAGTAAAATTAATATTTAACCAATTATGTGTTGTATATGATATTGACTAGGGTGATCGGGTGGTATAGTGCATGGTTAACACACTTCACATCACCTTAGTGCAACTGTGAGAGTTCCATTTTCCAATTGGACATGGAAAGGTATTGAATAACCTGTCCGACCACCTTGATTTTCCCAGGGAAATCCTACAGGAAGACCCTTGCACTTCCATCTTGGTCAACAAGAGTGATTTATAATGGTTGTAAAATAAAATTTATACTCTAGTTATAGACTGTAGTAACAAACCCCCAAAGAAAAAAGCCAGACTCAGTACAAAGCTCCATGGGGAGTTCTTCCTGTCTGTGAAAGAAACAAACATTTGGAATAAGTTCAAATCACATTCAAATAAATTTAATAATATAAATATTCTTGATTTTTCACAAGGAATGAAGTTAAAATAAATCAAGAACCAAAATGTGATAAAAAATATTATATAAAATGTTAAAACAATATTATATAAAATGTTAAAACAATATTATATAAAATGTTAAAACAATATTATATAAAATGTTAAAACAATATTATATAAAATGTTAAAACAATATTATATAAAATGTTAAAACAATATTATATAAAATGTTAAAACAATATTATATAAAATGTTAAAACAAATTTATATAAAATGTTAAAACAAATTTATGAAGTTACTATCATTAATTTAAAAGCAGGTACATAAATTCTACTATATATCATATTATACTTTTTCATCACAGAAAAGAAAGCATATGCTACCTCTTTATTTTCTGTTGATGTTTCTGTGCTATATGATTACTCTATCAGAACATCATATTACCTTGATATAATTTGTAGATCACATCAGGAAGACCTGCTGATCTGATAGCTGGACACATTTCCATAATGTTTATCTGTGAAAAATCTTCGATCAATTTCACCACAATACATGTTTACCTATCTAATATAACACTGAAATGTAATATTAGCTCAATAGTGTGTATGACCAACAATTAAAATGTTTTCAACATCTGATCATTTTGAGTTGTTTTGAATCTTTCTAGTAAACTTAGAAAGCAATATGTAAATGTTCCTATATTTAAAATATAATGAACACTGATTATTCAAAGAAAAACATACATTGTGTATACATAAAAATGTTCCTTTAAATCCTATAAGTCCATGTATTTCTATAAATTCTACTTTACTATCTCATTTCATTACAACAGAACATACCAAATTGCTCATTTGTTTGAAAATTGGAACTTCAAAATGTACATTAGGTATGGAATGCAGGATCTCTTCCAAGGAGATCTTGTTATGAAATTACATATTAAAGTGATGACTTTGTTACAAGGTTTTATTCATGCAACTTTCAAAGTTCATCCAAGTACCTTACAGGTCAAGTATTCTGATCCTGAGACTCACAGAAATTGTTGAACACATTCAACTCTAGTGACATTCCAGCATACAATTGGCCAAACATATAGATCATGATCTCAGACTTAATTGTTATTAATCAGAAAATGATTGAAGATTTCACATAATTGATCCCTTTGACAAAGGAAGTGGGTTAAAGTCATTTGTTTAAAGAAACTTCATTCTAACATGCTTTTGTCCGAATGTAATTTTTGGACTTCCTGGAATTTAATGCTGCAGGACATTTTCTCTCTTGCCAATCAGGCTGATATAATCTGTAATTCAGTTCAAACAACATATTCCTTTAACCAATTATTGTCTAATATCACGCATTTATCATTAGTTCAAGGAAATGGTTTTCATGTAAAATTCACATCTTCTTTCAATATGTTTATGCTTTCTTAATTAGAGCTGATGAGAATTTCATAATAATTATGAGAATGTTTAGGTGTAAAAATTGTTCACTAAATTGAGACTTGGAACACAGCCATACATTATTCACTTTTCTGCAACATACCTTTTTCATGTTATTAGCCTGTAAAAAAAATAAAAGAGTGGCATTACATGAATATTGTGACTCAAAATCAATACTTACGGAAAATAAATAGCAAAATTTCTAATTTTTGCAGTCTTATTTCAGCATGCTTGTTACGCTATAATCTTGGATTTAGATAAAGCAATTTTTTTCATACATGCATGGTTTAAAAATATCTTTTTATATAAATAAGAATGTATGATCATGTATGACATCAATCAAAAAACAGAATACCAAACACTTTCTTTAATACATTTTTCTGTAAAAAGAAAGAGGAAAAGAACAGTTTTTGATAATTAAATCTGAGTACATGTCCATTAATTTACAAAGTAAACATAACAGTTTCTTGATACATTTTCCCATAAAAGAAAGAGAAAAAGAATGTTTATGTTTAATGAAATTAGTCACATGTACATTAGTTGGTAAAATATGGTACGTGTAGTGTGAAATAAAAAAAAAGGGCTGTAAAAAATCTTAAATAAATTAATGTTTGTCAAATTGACAGACAATAAATTCTTTATCAGTGACACAAATAAACATCTGTAAAATATGTAACATCAACAACAGACAAATATCACTACCTCTATTGCGATGACATCATTCTCAGCCTGCTGAGTTTTCTGTAGGAGTCCTATTATATCATAGCACCCTCCAATCTCCACGTCTTTTGTCAGATCACCTACGACACCAAATTACAATGTATTACCTGAAAAATTAGTGACAGGCTAATAAACAGAAAAAAAAATAAACCTGATGAAACAAGGGTGAAAAAAAGAAGCAAAGCAAGACTTAAACTGAGACTTTTGAAAAAGTACAAGGAGAATAAAACCAGATGTTCCTAAAGGATAGGAATCTTTTGCATTGTTACTGATACCTGCTATGAAAATCTTGGTAATTCCAAGTAAGATGTCATGTTCCCCGGTGAGAACAAGTTAAGCGAGAAACCACCAGCTATATATTTCACTATTTTAGTAAAATTTCTCTTAATTTATCATTGCTAGATCACCTCCTTTTACAGAGAAGAACATACTAGTAAAAGAGCTTCATACTTTTTTTACTTCACCTGGCCCGCACGGCCAAGTGAGCAGTAGGAATACCGTCCGTCCGGCATCTGTCAACTTTTCCTGTAAATCGCTTCTCTCATGAACATCTGAGCAGATTTTAACCAAATTATTTTGACAAAAATTTATGGTTTCAATACTATCATGCAATATAATTTCCATAAGGAAGCCACAGTGCTGACAACAAGTGATTCCAAGATTTTCTGGGTATACTTGCCTCTGATGTAAATGGGGATTGCCTGTTCACGGAACTTGTATAGACTGCTGTTTTGATGTCTGAACACAGTGTTGGGAACAACCTCTGCTATTACCCTGTCTTTAAATGGAAGGCGTTTGATGTAAATAATTTTCCTACTGGGAAAATGTTTTTGTGAAGTTCCAAAGCTTTTGTTTGTGTTACATTAAACACATCAACAATTTAAAGGGTTTTGGCTGCAATTTTTTATGATGCCATTTTTCAGCCTAAATTGATGCAATAATGTATGTAGTCCATGGTATCCTGTCTCTGTAGGCACACAAACAACTGCAAAACCTGGACTCGTTTCCTTTAGCTTAGTCTGGTGAATATGCTTAAATGTGAAACAAGGTCATGTGATGCATGACGTCAAAGAGTTACTCTTTCAATAGCCATACTCTATTTAGTTAAAATTGGTAAGACTCTACTACACAGGAAATGCCAATTTATTTACAAATGTTCAAAACAGTTTTGATGTGAAACTTACCTTCATATATAGTGTATTGTTTACATAATGATTTATGACAGCAAAAAATAAAGTTTTTTACTTCTTTCTTTTTTCATTTATTTTGAAATGGATACAACAACTGGACATGGCTTTATGCAGTTACTTGAATGACCTTGTCTGAGATAATAGACGACATCTAAAATAACTACATTTAATTGTTACTTTTCACAAGATTTTTTCATAGTGTGAAAATTGTTACATAACATACATTATTGTGTCATGGCATTCCACATGAGGATATACACTTGTTAAGAACACCACAGAATCAAACCGATGACCAATATATAAAACCAGAATTCTTGGGGAAAACACAGTTGTCAGATTGCACAAAGATGTGCGGTAAGCATGTAATGTAATGTCTGCGCACTATGTATATGCATGATAGGAAAACTGGACAGAATATCTGTGCACACTTTGTGTGGTTAGATCACACAGATGTGTGATTCTGTTGTGGTTTATGTAAATTTAGAAATGATTTACAGTAAAGGGTAGGATGGGGTTTATTTATTTTTTAAATATGTAAGAGTACAACTAAGTATATTTTCTAATCAAGCCATAAATCTATATGTTGGGACACCTGTAAATCTATCAGATACAGACTGAATGGTGTTGGTTACAAAGTACCACTTAAGTATCTTTAAAGGGTTAAACGGGAGAACTAGTCTGTACGGATCAAAACCTTTCACATATATACCTGTATATGTATGTGTTGTACGACGCTAACAATAAAAAGTCTTATTAATGCAGGGTCAAATGTTATTTCAAACACTGGCACACTGTCAATTATAACACATTTGATGAAGTTTTTGTATAATAATATGTAGTATTTAGTTCAAGTAGAATATTTCACTTTCAATCAAGGGCAATACTAAAAATTGGGATCATATGAAAAATGGCTGCCTACTACACTGCTGTTTACATCTAAGATGCAGTCAGGTGAAGTAGCACTTTGACGTCATATGTACCACATGACCGGATGACACCAATCACCTCATTATATTGCTCACTCATGCATAACAAGTAGTTTTAACTGCCTAAAAAAGGGCATCGGGACATATCTGAGCGGCATCATCTGGGTGGTAGTGCTATTTAGATTAAGATGTAATATAATTCAACAAAAACAAAATCATGGCCAATGCCCTTTAATTATTAGCATGTACAAAATGAACTATTAGTAGAGTTGTATCTATACTGTATCTGAAAAATGATTTCCAAAACAATATCCTCAAACATGATTGTATGCCTCCATCTTTTGTGTGTGTATTGGAAAACAGTTATGAATTTCTTTGATAACATATTGCATCAAAAAACTACAAACGTGCTTTATGAAGTAGATGTCAATTCTTTTAAGATCTTAAAGATGCATGTATTACATATGTACCAAGCATGCTACACCAGCAGATTCTTAAAGTCATGCTAAACAAGAGGCCCTTGGGTCTTAACAGTCATCTGACAACAAACACTTTCAGCAGTGAATGAAATCTTACTAAGAAGCTGTTTTTCATGATGCAGATGGGAGTTTTTGTAAGGAGTAGGTAACTGTAACAAGTGTTTGCACAGTCATGTTGCAAAATGGCCTCCCTGGCTGCTGTATCGAAGTTTTGACAAGGTCAATAAATAAAAACACTTTGTTGGCTACCATTCCTTAACCAATTTTTAGCTCAATGGCACCAGTGGAACTGGAGAAGAAGTTTGAAATATGTTTTTCAAGATAGCAGTCACAACGGACAAAGCATGATCGCAATAGATCATTGTGACCCTTTGGGAACTACATTGTAATAAGATATTTGTAAAATTGTACTTGCAGCTGATGGAACTTGAAATATTAGATCTTTAAATGTTTCAATAATGTTACAGTTATAGGCATTTCGGCTTTATCGTTTCTGACATACTAACCTGCTAATGTGCGACAAGTCTTTACTTCCTTCAGAGGTTTCCAACAGAAAGTACATTTAAAATCGCTCCTGAAAGTTTTAACATTCACTAGTTTTAATACTGTACATTTGTAGTTTCTGTTTCTCAGCTAAAGATATCAAACCAATTGCAAGTTAATAAGAGTAGAAGTTGAATCACCCTAACTCTGGAGAAGTACAACAAGAGGCCCAAAGGACCTGTATCACTCACCAGGATCTTAAAGCCATGCAATCTTATACATGCCTATAGGTTAGGTTACGTATTTCAAATATTTCCAAATTAAAGCTCAATCACTTAATCTCTTTGATGGTGCAAAGCCAAGGGGGAAATTCTTATATCATTACTGTATTTCTCTGCCACATCCAAGGATCAATTCTTACATAGTATATGTGTTTATCTTGTGATGCCAAGCAATTCTATATACAAACTGATTAAGGGGAAGGGATTTCAACTGTTTCAAAGATATCGTCCAAAAATTAAGTCCAGAGGGGTGGAGCCATATCCAAGGGCATATTCTTACATTATGGGTGTGTTTATCTCTTGATGCCCAGCATTGCCATATATGGTTTAGGGGTGGGGATCTCAGCTGTTTCAAAAGTATTACCATGAAACTGAGTCACTAGACGTGGGGCCAGACCCCAGGGCCAATTCTTACATCACAATTGTGTTTATCTCTTTATGTTTAGCAATGCTATACATGGTTATGGGATGGGGATCTAAATTTTCAAATACATTTCCCTTATCGAATTGATTCCCCTTCACCAAAGCATTATTAAACCAAATTTGGGCAAAATCCAAATATTCCTACAGGAGTAGAATTTTAAGAAACTTGCTCTATTTTCCCCTATTGGGCCTCGCCCCTCCTGTCCCGGAGGGGGGTGGGGGAGCCTATTGGGCCCAGTCCCTCCAGCCTTAGGGAGCTTAGACCTTACATCTATACAAAATTGATTCTCCTTCACCCTAACATGATTCAGATCAAATTTGGACAAAATGTTCCTTCAGAAGGAGGAGGATTTTAAAGAATTGAATCATTTCCCCTATTGGACCCCACTCCTACTGCCCCATGGGATGTAGAATCAATATTTATACCAGTTTGGTTTTGCTTCCCTCAAGAATTCTTCAGACAAGATTTGGGCAATATCCATTCATTCCTACAGGAGGAGTAGGATTTTAAAGAATTTATTCTATTTCAAATATTGGACCCTGTCCCGCCAGCCCCAGGGAGCTGAGACCTTACATCTATACAAAATTGATTCCGTTCATGCAAAGTTGTTTCTTACAAAATTTGGAAAAAATCACAGCAATTCTACCTATGGAGTAGGATTTCAAAGAATTTGCTCTATTTCTCCAACTGGGCCCCACTCCTCCTGCCCCACGTGGCAGAGAACCAATATTTATACAACTTGGTTCGCTCTTCCCCAAGGATGCTTCAGACCAAATATGGGCTAAAAATGTATAATGTAAATATAAGCTTGAGTAAGCATCTTTACTAGTAAACAGTATATTGACCTCTAACATTTAATCCTTCTTTGAGTATTCATTGCAACTTCACCAATTTTCCATCTTGTTTTACAAAAGTGAGGGGAAAGTTATTCAACTTTTTTCCATGCAAAAGTTTTGAATTCAACCATCTCACAAATTTAAGGTGGGAACAGGAGGATATGTTCATTAATGAAACTTCACTAACCAATATAGCAATGCTGCTTATTATCTACCAGGCCTACACATTGATTCAGAGAAAAATGCAGATTTAGGAATTTATCACAAAAAAAGTATTGTAAAAGCTGTCAAAATTTTAACTTCTAATCTATATAGTTATTCACCTGATTGTTTGTTCCTCAGATGCTCCTGGCATGTGGACACGGATGAAGTGATAGCCAGTTTGGCCCTCACACTCCTCATCATAACAAGTGTACCGTGTACTTTGTCTGTAACACAGGTTTAAAAATCTAATTTACTATTAAAGTATCATAAATTGTAGCAAAAAAAACTAATAAAAATAATCTGATGATGTTACTGAATGCTGGAAAATTATTTTCAAATACATATCATCAAAAGTACATGTTAGAAAAAAATATCACAAAATAAACAAAGTACGTATGACAGGGGAAAACTTACTTTATTCTAACCAGATTTACATAATAAAATACCTTACATTGTTTTATCCTATTTTATTTTTGTCATGTGACAAACTGATTTGCAAACACTAACATTAAAATCATGTACTTAATGATAATCAATTTCTTATTTTTACCTCAAGTTTGTCTCCAAGTTTAATGTCTCTATAATTTGTATGCATTTTTACAATAATTTCTTTAAATGATATTATTTTTTTCTAATAATCTTGATAATGGATTTGCTAAAAAGAAATATGAATTTTAATGTCTGTTTTTTGTGAAGAAGAAAAAACAATAAAGGACAATATGAACTTACGTATACTTAGATGTGGCTGTCACACCCAGGATAATACCTGTCAGATGTACAAACACTGTTTTGTTGAAGAACATACTGAGCTGATTAGCATGCTCCACTTCATACCTGTTGATCAACATAAAAAAAGGACAAATACAAAGAAATTCTGTCAATTTTCTTTTTTTACTTCAATTAGTATTTCCTGATTATATCAGATCATTGCTACAATTTGACATGTACATAAAGCAACAGAAATCAAGCACAAAACTGAAGTTGTTCGGACCTGAAGCATTTGTGCATTTCCTTTGATTTTTTTACCCATTATTACAATGTATTTCATTGGCCATCTTGAATTTAATATAGATTCATATAATTAAAATGCATTTCTGGTCAATGTAATGAGGGCAATGCATTTAACAATTCAGTCAAAATATAATTTATACTATGAAAAAAATTGTACATCATAATTATTTCCTATGTTGAAAGGTAAATTGTATGAGGTAAGGTTACAAGTAGTTACAGCTGAGGAATGCTTGGTAGTGAAGTCAGCCTCAGTATGACACAGATCTGGGACAATGTGACATCTTCTTGTAACAGGGACAGCAGCTGTATCATCTGGAAAATTACCTGTGGATAATGGACATATTATGAAGACAAATTATTTATTGTGTAATTTCAAGAGCAGTTTCCTTTGAAGTGACCAGTTTTGATACTTGTATATATGCTCAATGAAACCCTCTTTTCCCATGATTTAAAATATTTAACATTTATCACAGTAGGTAATATTTATTTCTTACAACAATTAATAGTCAAATATTGTTTTCATTGCACCTCTCCGTTCTTTAAAAGTTGGATCTTCCCCTTCTTTCCTCTTCACTCCTCTAACTTTCCTCATAATTACATGAAAGTTGAAAATTCCTCTAAAGAAAAAGCAGTATCAACTTTAACTGTCATAGTCAATGACAACCACCTGCTGGCCACTTTGATCTTCTGAGAAGTCCCAAAAGCAAATCAAAAAGCACAGATAGAAACCAATGGAAATCCACTAATGAAATCTGAGAAAGACTTTCAATTTCAAAATCAAATATGGTCAAATGTTAGTCATTTCAATTTTTTTTTCAGTCCTGAAATTAAAAAGAGCTCATCTCAGGACCTATAAGAATCTATACTTATGCAAAATATTGATTCTGTGCTGATCAAAAATAGTAAAAACAAACTTTCATTGTCAAAATCCAAGATGGTCCAGTGTCAGCCACTTAGATTTTTTATCACTCCCAATTTTAAAAGATCACAGCAAGGGACTTAGTAGAAGCTATGTATGACACTAGAAAAAGATCCATGCATTGTTTTACAAGAAATAGCGATAACAAACTTCAACTTTCAAAATACAAGATGGCCACTGTCAACCAGTTTGTTTTCCTGATCAGCCTGAAAATTAAATTGGCACAACTAGGTATCAAGAGGAACTGACACATCAAATTTCAGAAATATGCTTCCAGTACTTCTGAAGAAATAGCGGAAGTGATAATAAACTTCATTCAAATTCAAAGATGCCACTGGTTGGCTGTTTTGTTTTCCTGATTAGATTCAAGATTGTACAGATACAACTCAGGACCAAAGAGAAACAACACATCAAATTTCAGAAAAACCACCAGTACTTCTCGGCAAAGAGTGATAACAAAATTCAAGTGTAAAAATCAGCAATTTGTTTTTCTGACCAATCTCAAAATTCATATGTTTGTTTGTTGGATGTTTGGGTTCATTGCCCTGTAAACAGCGAGGGTTATTTTATCAAAAATACTACAATTAATCAATTTCAAAAAAGAAGAGAAAGTTTTTCTCTCTTATCTTACCTCCTGAAAAAGGCTGGTGGCAATTGCTGGTGTAGAAAGTATACAATTCCCAAGGTTAGCTGGAAAAAATCATTTGAAATAATTCATGGATCCTCAAGAGTATTGAAGTTGACAAACTCTTTAGAGAAAATACAGCCAGTTTTGTCTAGCCAACCCATCAAAATTCCTAACAAAGATTAATTGCTAAAAATCTAATTCATATTTCTTAATCTAATATATGTGCATGAAATGTTTCACCAGCCTATCTGGCAATATTCAAATATTTATGAGCAGTTGGCTACATTGACATTTGATACTGCGATCAAATATAGGTCAGAAACCAGTTGAATTTAGCTACACTGACATTTGATACTGTGATCAGATATAGGTCAGAAACCAGTTGAATTTAATAGTTTTGTATGTTGAGGTCTGTTAACGATACCAGTTTTCAGCTGGTAAATGTTGCTTTGACTTTTGAAAATATGTTGAATTTTCATCATTCTATTACGTTAGTGATACAGCTAGCAATACTACTATTAATAGTAATATCTTATCTCACTTTCATGTATAATGTATACAAAATAATTAACCTACCATTTAATTCACAGACATCACCGAGATTGACTAGGATTTTAAATGTGTACAGAAACATTTCCTGAAATGAAAACATTCATCAGGAAAAACTAATTTCTTCAATATTTATATATTGTACATAAGAGAAATGAAAGTTTACATTCTAATTAACCTCAAAATGGTGAAAATCACAGGAAAACTTTCAACTCAAGACATCTAAAAGTGGTCACTACATTTTTTGAAACTCAGCAAAATATGAAATTCAATAAGGCCTTACAAACTTAATTTTGTATTTTATTTCATTCTATCAAAAAATAGACATTTCTTCAGCATTTATCACCCTTAATATACATACACATGGCCATACATCTTTTCTTATTGTTATATTTTAATTAAGTTAAACAGATGACATCAAAAATTAACTATTGTTATCATAATTAATCATGATTCCTTTCTGTATCCAATTCAATAAATCTGAGTAAAATCTCCAGTATTACTTTATCACAGATGTACTTGTTGTTCTGTTAGAAACCAAAATCTAATGAAATGTTTATATATATTGTTTATGAATGGTATAATTTTGTTATGTTGAAGTATATTAAATTAATAAAGAAAGAAAAAAAAATATTTTGGAGAATAAATGATAAAATCACTGTACTTTTCCCATCCTGTTGTAGTGCAAACACTGTAATTTTACTCTTTCAAAGTTACTGGTCATATCCATATATTCCACCGCTGCCTCAACAATGTCTAGTTTTTCTTCAAGGTTCATATTATAGGCTTTGCTTACCTGCAAGAAAATGGTCATTTCAATTACCCAAAATGTTTACCATTTGCTCAATAAATGAATATTTTCAATCTTAGCAGAGTATAAGTTCAGTTTTAACTCTAGTAAATTGCACATTTTAATTGATGCCTATCCCATGCTAACATTTTTACATGATGTCTCATTTGTTATTCAGTGAATATATACTCATATAATATTTTATGTGTATTACATGTGTAACCTATTTTGATGATTGGTTTTGATATTGAAATAAAGTCACATACACACAGATTGCATTGTGACATTGTTACAATGGAGACCGTGATAAAAATTACATAACTTAAAAGATATTGGAAATGTCTGATTTCTACAATATTTTATCATTAAACATCAATCTGGAGATGAAAAATATATATCTTAAGTTTGTTTCCAATAAGACATGTGATTCATGAATTCATCACAATCTTTTTAATTTAGATTCACTAGGAGTCCAAATTCTCAAATAATCATATGTATTAAAATAAAGTGAAATACTCGTGGAAAAGAAACAAAATGCTGGTCAGGAAAACTGAATCCCATACATCTAAAGAGTAGAAGCTTCTTAAGTTGCAATCATAGGCCCAATTGAAAACAGAGGGCGGGGACTTCCGAATATGATTAAAATGTTGAAATTTATCATAATCAAAGGGTCAACAATTGTTGACTCAAAATGCTTTTCAAGGAAACACAAACTAATTCAAACCATTGTTTAAAGGCCTGTTAAATTTGGGGGAAAATGTTACAAGCTAGGGGAGGATCATATGTGGACTATTTAAAAGGCTGAAAAAAGTCCAGGAAAACAGTATCTTTGAAAATTTCTAACTGAAATGCTGTTTTGAACAAACCACGCTTTAATGTCATATGATAAGTTTGAAACAGCTAGCTTGAAGACTGAGAGAAGATCTTTCGACAAATACAAATTTAGTTTTCAGTCTTTCGCCAAAAAAAGAGACAAACTTTCATGTGAAATCCTCCATACTAGACTCCAAGAACATGTATAAAACACAATGTATAACATATATTAAACAGCATGGTGTTCTACATTAAAAATATCATATTGTTATTTTATCTTTATAGTTATGTTAAATGTGTACCAAAGGAAAAAATATTGAAGCATAATGCCATATCAAGAGATAAATGTGTCTAGACAAAGATAATCAAATCAAATTATCCCGCTCATCACACCTCGCAGACGATGTTCTGTACAAAGTGTACTAAAAGCAAGCGGATCAAATTTCTAATCGAAAAGCAATTTTTTTTATATCGGCATCAACACTTTAGCATACACAGATTTTTCGTTCAGAAGAATCTACAAACATAATTTTTTTAAATAAGTATTTTCAAAATTGTCGCTATCCTATCAAACTTATCAAATTATCGAATCTGTGACAAACCGGATGTACTTTAAAGATGCTTGACAGTAGTAATATCCAAGATGGACGCTTTGTAAACGTGAGAGGCACGCTATACCGGTGTTTACAATATTTCTAGCTTTGTTAATCAAAAGTTGCTACTTATCAACAGATAAAATGACGGAGGTAAGAAGATTTCATTTTTTATCAAATTAAATTAGATTAATTGAGCTACTTTTGGCAGCAAATCTATTTGGTTAAATGATGTGGTCTGATGCCGGGTGGATGGCATTCATTCTGAAAGTAAGAATCATTTTAGCTAAATTTTTGCGTATATTGGAGTAACAAATCTATTTCTTAAAGAAGTAACTGTTAATAAATACAGGAACATAAAAATATACAGGAGTATGTCAATTCTATTTTAAGGCAAGATCTTATTTTAGAAAATCCTGACACCATGTCATGACACCACTAAACACAAGAAGTAACAATACTAATAATAATGTGATTCTTTTCCTCAGATTCTTGTTAGATTACACTTAAGTGAATTGAACTGAATTTTGGGCAAAAGCGATATTCAGATATTTTTGTTTCATACCACATGTACATTACAATTGTAAGAATTTTAGTACAATTGTTTGAAGCCTAAATACCGTATTAATTAATACCAATACCGTAAGACTAGAACTGTGTATCGCAAGGGTAGTGATGATACGATACGTATCGCGATACATTGGTCACGATACGAAATGTATCACGATACGTTTGAGACAAAAATATCTAATTATCTGATATCACACTTCTACAATGCGGACTACCTTTAGATTTCAATGCTACATTTCAATCCTCGTGAAATAAATACATGATAATTATTACTGAATAAAAACTCAACAATGAAAAAAAAGCTCCTCTTGTTTAATTTTTGTTTACTTCGGGTTTGAATTCTTCTTTAAGAAGATAAGTGTATCCACATGTTTAGATTTAAGAGTGCTCCGTTAAGTGGTAACAATATCTCCAGCACAAGAAAAGACACACTCACTAGGAACTGATGTTCCGGGAAAACAATGATAGCGATGTCTCATTCCAGTTGTAATGTCTCCGTAAATGTATTGTCATGTTGGTAGTATTCCAGGAATACTTCAGCTTCTGCCCACATTCATTGCACTATAGGTATGATTTATCTGTTTCCCACCTATCATTTGATTTGTATGCTCTAAATTTGAAATTTCGCCAACATGCAGCTTTAAACGTTGCCGGTGCAGATACAAATTTCAGTTCATCACAAGTTTTGTCGTCCATTTTAGCATAGCATATACGTTTGTCAGGGGAAATAACTCAGTTTTAAAAATAATATAGGCATCGCAATGCCATTCAGGCACGGGCGATGCATTGATGCAACACTTCGTGATACGATTCACAGATGCATCGGTGAATTGTTACAACTATATGTAAGACCATACCATTTACAACCAGGGCAATATGAATTATTCATAAATTGGTTATATATTTAACAGTATGTTGTACTATTAGTGATCTTTTTCCAAAATGTTCTTTCTCTTTATATCCTCAGGAAGTACAAAAACATTCAGTGCACACACTGGTGTTCCGGTCCCTGAAGAGAACACATGACATGTTTATTGCTGAGCAGGGAACCACACCAGCCAAAGACCCAAAATGGTTTGTAAAAGTACCAGACTGCCAATACATGATTATTGATTAGAAAGTAGAAAATCAAAAATCAGATCAGACTGGTTTTCTGATGATTTAACTTTATTTACTGATCAATGTATAAGGTGTTGAAGGGATACTAAGGTCATACCTGAAGAGTCACCAAACATCACACTGTAGACAGTGATAAAACATTTCACAGGTTGTCAATCACTGTTTTTATATGTAATTGATACACAAATGTTTCATTTATATTATGTAGATTAATGTAAGAAATTCATGCCGAAGGAAATAATCTTTTGTATTTTAATATGTTAACATTTGTAGTGACAAATTGGTCATGTATGCAATCATCACCAATGATTCCTCATATTTTTAAAATCTTCTTCTATTTATGTGCCTTAACTCTAGTTATTAAAAATTCTTATTATAAAAAAGAACTGGCGATTCTGTTTCTCAAAAAATGCTTTCTTAAATATGAAAATAAATCCAAGAAAATACATTCATGTCTTTGTTATAAGATGAAATCAATAAAACTAGGGAAAATATGAACAAAAGAAAGATTTACACAGAGAATCCAGAAAAGTACTAGGAGAATAAGACCTGGCTTTCTGGAAGAGTAAGGATCTTCTGCTTCATTTACCACACCTGCCATGTCAACCTTGGTCAATCCAAGTAAGTAATGTCACATTCTCAAGTGAGAATAGCAGAAACAACAAGCAAACTAATGAGCATTAAACATCTCCAGCTTCATATCACACAGAGAAATACTATATTTATCAATGACGACTGTAAAACTTTCCCTGAATTTTTTCTTCAGTATGCATCTTTTGAAATCCTGTGTCACAAGTTTGTCCCTAAGCTGACAACTTCTTCCAATCTTGCATGAAAAGCGTTATATTGGGAACATGCCCTTGAATATCGAATCAAGTGCAACATGTAAACATCATAGGTTGTGGATGCAGGATTGTTGCTATCCAGAAATGGAAAATTCACAATAGGGAAATTGATATCATAACACTTATCATACAGCTTTGCAGAAAACTGTCTTGTGATGGTAAGAAATGATCAAGATAAGCAGCTGATGTAGAATAATCTGTCATGTCTTTGATATCCAATTCTGGTGGGTATACACTATGGATGTGTTCAATAAGTGTCCTGTTATTTAAAGACAAGACGTCATTAGTATACCTGAATGTGAAATTAAACAATCTTGCAAGGTCTTTGTGCCCTGTTTTGATAAGTTCTTCATTAAATTCAGCCTCATATGAAAACAGAAACAAGTCAGCCAACAAAGGGGTATGGATAGTTCCCATAAGTTTGTCGATAGTCTGTTGGAAGATCATACCACCAAACTTGACAGAAAAAAGTATGAAAATGGTTGAATCAGATAATAAAAAATAAGCTTGTGATCTAAAACTCTCAACTATTTTACATCAAACTGTTAGAATTAAAACACTGCTGTTCTTATATGCAAGGTCTTTCGTTACTACTGGGTTACCAAGGGGTGCTTTATTTGTAACTTTTCTTTTTTGCAGTGAATTACTGAAGAGAAAACTAAAAATAGCCGATGAATACTCACTTGTGAAAGACATGCCAAAGGAAGGAGGCAACAAGATGCATAATAAAGATGTTATCAAACCTTTAGAAGAAAATGACTGGAATCGTATGTATTACAAAATACGTTGCCCTCCAGTACACATCTATTAAAAAACATTTTTTATTGAAGCATTGACCAAAGAATTATACATGTCTTTGAATGAAAAAACAATGAAATTTAGAGTTGTAGTGAAACATTCATTTTGGAAGTCATCTTTAAATGATTTTGTTAGCAGTGAAACTGAAAATGTTAGCTCTGATATTGAATTTCTTTGTAAGTTTGATTAGTGTTTTTAGATACATTATTATAATTATTGATATTTAGTAATGATCATTTAATTTCATTGAGTCATTACTGCCAGGGCTCTCGATCTGCCAGATTTGGGGCCGATATTTGGCCCCATTCCCAATGCAAAATAGTATCTTTTTTTTTCCAATTTAGACCCCAAGTTTTCCCAAATCTAAGGAAAACACCATTATATTTCCCAATTCAAAGGGCCCCGGGCCCCAGTCCCAAAATGGGGTGTGAGAGCCCTGACTGCCAAATAACACTTTTATTACTTGTAGTGACCAGTCAATACAGTCATTAGAGCCAATGATGTACTTAATGAAATTTTTGACCGTTGATAAGATATATATATCATACTGTTTCAAATTCACATATTATTTTGCATATCAAATAATTTATTCTATCCTGCATATGTAGATGCAGTATATTTGTTAATGTTACATAAGTAACAGGAATGTATTATGATGTTTCTTTCTGTAACAAACGAAAAAGAAATGAATGATCATTTTAAATCTGGATTATGATTTACAGGTAACCAGGATACTGCCATTCTAGGTACCCACCCCTACCCAACAGGTTCAGGTATGTCATGTTATATATTCTAGTTAATCTTCATTTTCATAAAAAGGATTTTTAATAATAAGAGATGACTGAAGTAGTATCTTACCACCGAGGGAACTGTCTGTCTATCAAATTGTTGATAACTTCTGGTAGTATTTGTTAGCACAACACCATGACTTATCAATAGATTATTGTTTCGACAACTTGGTTTAATAGGTGTCCAATTGACAGATGGGACATCAATGTACACAGACCCTAGCAAGTCATCAAGTATGGAAATGGCCTTGTATGAAAAAAACAGGTAAATATATCTATATACATTTATAGTGAAGTGTTATTTGTTTTCAATGGTATGACTTTTTTTATAAAAAGGACTGATTAGACAGGATAAAATGTTGATTAAAGACACACAAGTGATAAGTACATTTCAATACAAATTTAGATCCAGTACAACTGTACTAGTAGAGCCCAATCATAATTTAAACTGCATTATACAGCTTTTTCATCCTCCAAAGGATTGTCAACCATCATCAACTAATAGCAAGATCATTTCAAGTCATTGTGTAGAAGGTAAATTTTTTGTAGTGATATGAAGTACTGTTGTACACCAGTTCAAGTTTGAATAACCCTTGTAGAGAAAATGATATGAATCAACCTAAACTTTATTGAGATTATGTGTAAAGTGACTGCATTTTTGTTGCTTCATTCATTGTTAGACATTTGCTATGATCAATATACTCATAAATTGATGTTATTTGCTATCTAGGATGATGGACACACCTGCAGGATCTGGAGTCCATGACATCAAACAGAGTCATTCTGACAGATCAGACCCCTCAAAGGTAGGAGCGTATTTCATCCATTCTGGCAATAGTGTCTGGACAGTAAATAATGGATTATGAACTATTTAATCCCCCATCCAACTTTGTTATATATTTAAATGGGTCTGTCCATCTGTCTGGATGCTGCTTTCCACACAATATCTTTTGAAGGACTGGTAAGATTTTTCTGAAACTTTGTTGGTACTCTTGTTACCTGAATACCTTGCCCAAGTTTATTTAATGGCGACTTCAGCGCATATTTTATGAGACTGCTGTCACCTGATTGGCTGATTTCCTTAATCAATCTGAGATGCTACTTTCCATATGATATCTTTTGAAGGACTGGTTGAAGTTCGATGAAACTTGTTTGGTACACTTGTTACCTTAATCCCTTGCTTAAGTAACATTAACTGTAAATTCCATGCATATATTATGAGGCTGCTGTGACCTTATTGACCAATTTCTTTAATCACTCTATGGGAAATGTTTTTGCACATTATGTTATGGAGGAACGATAACAATTTTTAGGAAACTTGCTTTGTAGACTTATTACCTTAATTCCTTGTTTAGGTTCGATTATCAGCAAATTCTATGCATATTAAATGTGACTACTGTGACCTGATTGGCTTATATCTGTTGGTACTATAACTGAATGCTTTCTGCACATTACAAATGAACATGGATGGGAAATCTCAATGACTATGTCATTGCTTTCTTGTTTTTGAAGCTTAATGAAAAAAAAGCTAATATTTTTTAAATAAGTATTTGATACAATATCTGAATTTAGAATGCCTGGATTTGGTGTGGGAGTAATCCTTTTCAACAACAGTTAGTCCAGGACTCACTGGTCCAAAACCTACAGAAAATGTCATAAGTGCCCAAGTCTCTGGTTCTCTGAGATCAAATTTACTTTTCAAACTTATCATAAATATAGTTTGAAAGAAGCTGAAAAAGGAGAGCCAGAAAAACTCCATCAAGAAATCCACATGTTTTAATGTATGGTTCTATTGTTGAAAGTAAAACAAACCATAGACATTTTTTTGAGAAATTATAAAAATGTTTTGCTGCAGGCATTAGTTTCCATTGGAAATCAGCAAGCTTTGGTACCAAGGAAGGCACCTACCATGCCCAAACCATCCTGGCATCCTCCTTGGAAGTTGTACCGAGTGAGTATCATAGTAACAAACAATAAAGAAGACAGGGAAAAAAATCAGAAAAGTGTTTGGTTGTACATGTACCTCAAAGTTCAATACATTTTTCAAGAGTAGTAATAATCAAAGAAGCATTTTCTGCAAATAACATTTTACCATGTGAACATTCCTTTTGGCAATGTACAGGTAAAAATGTTTCAGGTGAGTGTATCAGTACTTTTGGACAAATTATTCTCATTGTGTTAATTTGTTCGCAGCAATAATTGAGTAAACTATACTTATGATATAAGTATTTTGAATAAAACATTGTTACCTAGTGTAGCAGTGAAACGGTCATATAGCTTCTCAGTCAAATTTCTTCTATGTTTGAAATCAGTCATGGTGTCAAATACTGAAAGCAAAAGTTGTTATTTATTGTCAGTGATGGGACTTTATGTGAAATCTCTATACAGGTAAATCTGTACTTCCAAAATGATTTCTGTAGATTGACCATATATGATTAACACAATTCTAAATAGTTAATATGCATCAAGATAATTAGATGTCACACTTTGTTGTAAATGTAAGAACAAAAATGTTAATATTTGTTTTGTTTACAGGTGATCAGTGGTCACTTGGGCTGGGTCAGATGTGTGGCAGTAGAACCTGGCAATCAGTGGTTCGCTACAGGGGCTGGTGACAGGATGATAAAGGTATATTTTCAGTCGTCTGACCCATTTTTTTAAACATTTTTTAGAATTAAACTCCAAAAAACTGGCAGATTCTGATCAAATTTAGCTGCAATCATTGTAGCAAGGTCATTCAAAATTGTTAAATTTTGCAGAAATTTTGGGGAATTTCACACTATATGAAGCTAGTAAAACTTGTGAAATCCAGGTTGATCTCATTCCTGGTGCCCCATTAGGAGGGGATAAAGTTAATTACGGTTTAACTGGGATGTGTAATTCTGCCATCTTCTGTAAAGTAAAACTGGTTGGATGATTTAAATCATATTTGGTCGCAAGCATCCTTAGAGCAAGGCAGTTTAAAGTATTACTGTGAAATTTGAGGGCATGGTCCTTCCGTGTCAAGGGAGGGGACCATATAAGGCAAAACTACCTTAGGAAAAAAAGATATTCTTCACAAGACAGATGTCAGAACTGCAATCATTTCAATCATACAACCATTGTGGAAATATACACAAAACTTTAATCTAATGATAGGTTAGATGACAGTTAAGGCCAATTGGCCTCTGGCTGTGAATTTATGTGGAAAATCTGATGTGTCACACCTTTCTAATTTTAAGCAGCTCTTTCCAACAAAAAAAACCTACACTAGCATGCTCTATCCACTTAACCTAATACCAGGTAATTTACCAGGTAGTTTATTGTGTATAACAGATCTGAAAACTATCTAGTGAAATGCTGAAACTATCCTTAATAGGTCACATCAGGCAAAGCTTCTTAATCTTTTTTGTCATGTTGGTTTATCATATATGACAGATCTGGGATCTAGCCAGCGGGACATTGAAACTATCCCTGACGGGCCACATCAGTTCTGTAAGGGGCCTGTGTGTCAGCCCAAGGCAGCCATACCTCTTCTCCTGTTCAGAAGACAAACAGGTCCGGTGTTGGGACCTAGAGTACAATAAGGTACTGAAGAAAAGATATTTCATGATTCAGTCATTGTATCTTGGCTTTGATATGAAGTATAATTTATCAGACAATGTCAAGAGTCTTAATCAGAACAGCATAAGGGCAACTTATCAATAATGAAAAAATGCAAGCAAAAGATATTAAAAGAGTATCTTCCTACATGAAAATATACAAAATAAGATTGATATTGGAATTCACATCTGTTTCTTTGCAGTGAGGTTTTACTGTAATTTACATCTGTTTGCAGCAATGATTGAATTACACTATATATTGTTTTCCATCATGATGATAAAAGAAAAAAAAACATCCACTTTAAGATAATTTGAAGTCTTTTTGATCTATTAAGTGACTTAGAGGTTTTGCTTTATTCTCCTTTTGGTAACAAAGAACAGAACATTACATTTAACCTGTTATGATTGGCAGACAACAAGACACTACCATGGTCACCTGAGTGCTGTATATGCCCTTGATCTCCACCCAACAATTGATGTATTGGTAACATGTGGACGTGACGGCACTGCTCGTGTGTGGGATGTCCGTAGTAAGGCTTGTGTGCACACACTCACAGGCCATAACAATACAGTGGCCAGCGTCAAGTGTCAGGCCTCTGAACCGCAGGTATTAAGTGCTACAAAAATACTGGAAAATTGCAATTATAAAATTCAAATGATTAGGCAAGATAATCTGTAAAATAAACTTTCCTTGAAAGCATCAATTATTCAAAGTAGCTAACATATAGAAGGTTTTATCAATTTTGGCAAATGTCAATTCTAAATGAAATAATCTTGTGAGGAAATATGAGTACCCGGTAGTATACAATACAAGAAATAGGATATTTAAAATTCAAAATTCTGGACAATCTGACTTTTGTGGGTGGTTCTGTATTTGTATCCTGTTCTGATCAGTCAGTATGTCATACTTATTATTAGAAAATTTCATAAACTCTGCCTCCAATATTTACCAGATGTGGTATTGAAATTTCATTCGGAATGGTATCTTTTTATATACTAAATCCTGTTATGTGCTCAACTTAAGGTGGAGTTATAGTCTTTTGTTGATATTGAAGACCAAGCTTTGTCTGGGTCAGTGGAAGTATGAATTACATATTACTTGATCTGCATTAACTTGCTTGTTTTAAACATGGAAAATTTTTGTTGCAAAATTAATGATATCTGAAAATGCTTTGTTTTCAGGTTATCACAGGTAGTCACGATTGTACAATCAGATTGTGGGACTTGGCTGCTGGTCGTTCACGAGCGACACTAACTAATCATAAAAAGAGTGTACGAGCAGTTGCTCTTCATCCTACTCAGTAAGTCACATTTGTTTTTTGATAATGTTGAACTTCCTGGCTTCGATATCTGAAATCTGACAGATGTTTGATCCTTTCGGGCTGTGCTTTCTGTTTTTAAACCACAAATGTCTCTTTAAGGTTTGCTTTTTGCAGACAGCATTGATTTTTATAAATCTAGATAACGGTGGCTAATAAAGAGCCTCTATAAAGATTACCTAATGTCTAAGATGAAGTTTAAAGAGCATTATGTAGACATTTTAAATCCGACCAAATGGTAACCAGAGGTCAAAAGAGAGACACTGCCTGAAAGAGCAAGTCATTGATGAAAGAGAATTTAAAGATATCAAGTGTAAAAAGTGTTGCGGGTGAAGGAGATGGTTCAACCAATTTTATTTCTTTATTTTGTGTCCCAAAATTCAAAGGCTCTGCTGTTTGACCCAAGATGTTATTATTAAACTGTTGCCAGGAACATTCTGACTCGCATGCAAGTTGGTAAAACCCACTACATGTAATTTTCTTAAGTTTGCTCTGAAAGTTTTACTGTATTAGCCATGAAAACCAAAATGATAAATACGTCTTAAGATTTCAGGAAGTACTTAAATTGTTCAGGTCAAAAGCCTCTGTACATTATACTCTATTTACCAGTCATTATTTTGTTCCAAAGGTACAGTTTTGCATCCGGATCACCAGATAATATAAAACAGTGGAAATTTCCAGATGGCAACTTCATACAGAATCTATCCGGTCACAATTCCATCATAAATGCCCTGGCTTTGAACTCAGATGGTGTGCTTGTTTCTGGAGGTAAGTCTCCTGATGTTTATATTTCTACTTCCATAACTAGATCATGTTTAATTGAATAATCAGTTTGTCGAAGTATTTCTTCCCTTGATGAAAAAAAAGATCCAAATCATTTGTAATATTAGACTTTACCATCATATTGTGACCATAAAAAATGGTCTTTCCCCAAGATGTTTTAATGCAAACCATTATATTTTTCAGCAATAACTATTAGAGATCCAGTAGTAGCACCTCTTACACCAAAAGTAGGACAATAAAGTATTTCTATATCGATTTATATGGATCAAACAAATTATAAGCAATAAACCATATTTGAATGATGTAAATACTTTGTATACATTGTTGAACAGAGATGTATTATACAGTTATATATATATATATACGTAGGATATATAACTACCAGTTTATTTTAACATCATTTTGTGTTGTGCAGCTGATAATGGTTCCATGTATTTCTGGGACTGGAGAACAGGGTATAATTTCCAGCGGATACAGGCAACAGCACAACCAGGTTCTATAGACTCAGAGTCTGGGATATTTGCCATGACATATGACCAGAGTGGCAGTCGACTTATCACAGCTGAGGCTGACAAAACTATTAAAATATATAAAGAAGATGAAACTGCTGTAAGTTATTTCCAAATTTATTTTCATTTTCAGCTTGCTTGATATAAATTATAAGCAATATGATCAACCATATTTACACATTTATGGGTCCCAAATGGGGTATATTTGTATTAAAATTAATTAAGTCATCAATAGGCAAGCTATGCTGTTCTCAATTAGCCCTCAATAATTCTTGATCAGTTTATTTTTTTTATTTAATTTTAACATTTTATTTATATCAACTGACAAAGATTTTATATATTTTTATTACAAGGGATATGTTGTGAATGATCCCTCTCTAGTGCAAGACTGAATGTATAATTTTCAAGTCAGATTCATAATCATTTGAATGCATTTTGAGCCAAATTTGGGCTTATTAAATCCTTGGTTCCTATTTGGTCCTAACTGATTTTCAGATTGATTTGATTTTCAAGATGGCCAACAGTAGCCATATTGATTTTGGCAAAAAGTTTGTTATTGCTACTTTTCCGAAATTATCATTAAATTCAAATTTTAGTGATGTGTTCCTCTTGGTCCCTATTTGGTCCTAGTCATATTCAGCATGATCTGGTTTTCAAGATGGCTACCATGGCATCCATTTTGTTTTTGCTTTGTATTATTAGTGTACATCTTCTTGAGAGCATATCTAGTACACTTTTTCATGTAGGATCATCCAACTTAGCTAGTTGGTACTTCTTGGGAAGCCACAGTTTATTGACCTATATTTTGATCTTAAGTTCCTGTTCATTGAAGAGTCTTATTCAAATGATATCACCTACCCTGTTTTGTATGGAATCACCAAACTAGCTATATGGAAGCACTAAAACAGAATGTTATTTTTAAGACATGACCAGGCCAATCTGGCCTTTATATTTAATCTTTGACCTTGTTTAATGGGAAAAATTGATTAACAGAGATATTACCATGTTTACGGTCATAGTGTTTTAAGTTTTTACACAAACTAACTAAAATCTCATGTTTATGTTAATGTTAAAGGATACATAAAAATGAATTAATATTCATCTTATATGAGGGAGTTGTATAATTTACCAAAAGAAAATATGAGGTAGTTGTATAATTTACCAAAAGAAAATCAATTAATATTCATCTTATATGAGGGAGTTGTATAGTTTACCAAAAGAAAATCAATTAATATTCATCTTATATGAGGGAGTTGTATAGTTTACCAAAAGAAAATCAATTAATATTCATCTTATATGAGGGAGTTGTATAGTTTACCAAAGGGAAAAATACTATATGAATAAATCAACTTAATAGGCATTTTCTTTCTAAGAACCAAAAGTAAAATTTTGTTTTCGATCATTCTGCATTTTACAAAGAAATAGAAATATTGTATAACAGTGGTAATTTTTTTATTCTTTAATTCTCTTTGCAGACGGAAGAATCACACCCTCTGAACTGGCGGCCAGACATCCAGAGAAAAAAAAGATACTGATATGGGCATTATTGATAACAGTCATATACATGTACTGTGTCAGAGATGGACCAGTGTTTCTATCAATCAGATATGGAGTTGCTGTGACAAGGCAAGGATTTTGTTGTGAATCTTGCCCAAGGACAATTAACGCCTAATACGGGTGGATAGTCTAAGGTGCCGGTCATGTTGGTTCAGTCATTGGTACATCTGAAACCTTGTTTCAGACTCTCAATTCTTACCTTATATGGTTAACTCAAGACTATGTTAAATTTGGGTATGATTGATTGACCAGTACAGTTAGATCTTGGCTTTAGTAGACAAATTTCATTTTGTAAGATTAAGTTGTTTTTATATCCAGATAATTAAGGCTTGATAATGTCTGTATAAAGCCGATTCAGGTATGTGGAATGAAAACAGGTATAACCTACTGAAGGTCTTTGATGATGTAATTGGTAATTATAAAATTACTGTTTGGAATTAAAAACAAAAAACCCACTTTGTAATGCAGTTGGTTTTAGCTGTAAAGGTGATGATATGAAGTGGTTAGATTTCATTGTCAAGGAATTATTTTCATTATTTTGTGGTGAGGAGTGGTTCTGATTACAATCATATACAGCAATGGACGAGCCTTGGCGACAAGTATCATGTTTAGGGTTATATATAGTCAGGTACATCAGAGATATTTGTCTTGATGATAATCCTATCTGTTCATTAAGTATATGATACAGCAATCACTTCAAATAGACTCTTTAATTACCAGTTTCTCTGTACAGCAGTAACATTATTATGTATAAACTCATTCAAGTCTGATATAGACATGATAATTCCTGACAGTAAGTGATAAGAAAGAGAACTTTCTGCTGTGTAGAATCTTTGTCATTGCATGATTTTCAGATCCAAAATTGTAACAACTGAATACATAATAGTAGTAGTATTTCTGTTTATATATCCTATTATCACACCTTTGTGTAAAGTTTTGAATTCAAACCATGCTGTAATTCATGATTCAAAACAAAACAGAACACTTATTTGATTTCCCTATAAGGCAAGTCAATGGTGACTATTGGGCAGTGAATTATCTATATTTCAAAACATCAGAACACATTTGACCAAAAGCAGGCTAATAACAGGACACTCCTTATGTAGAGCATGTTGATTTTTTCCAATTGTAATTGGACAAATAAGAAAAGTATGTGGTGGTAGGGGGAGGAGGGGGATGAATAACATAAAGGGTTAGGTAGAGGTGATTATTGGAAAATTTCCTTCAAATTTTGGTATATTTTCACAATTTTATCACACGTTATCCATGTTTTATATTTAAAGATAATTGAATTTGGGATTGAATGATTAGCAAATATGCTTTAATGAATCATTAAGTAAGAAAAAGAGATACTTGATATAGTAATGTAGTCTATTGTCTAGCTTAGCACGGGACATGATCATTGCTATGTTTCTGACCTCAGTACAGTATGACTTCTTAACTTCATCAAATCACCTTCACACTTCCGAGACAGCACAGGAAGAAATCATCATTTTAATTACACCTTTGTTTGATAATAAATTCAGAGCTATATTTGTTACTGAATAATGGATAATAACATTTTTATATTAGCATATTTTAAACTGAATAAAATGTTGATAAAATGCATAATTTCATTCCAAATTTTTTTGAAGTAAATGACAATTGGTCCATTATAGACTGGACAATGTTAGTTAGTGGTTTGTTTGCTTGGTAGATTTATGTTCAATGTAACAGTTGTTGGCTACCTCACTCAAAAACATACATTAGACCTGTTGCATGCCATCTCAAGCAATTACTGCCAAGGACGGCCACATCAGCACAGATTGGTTTGTTTTGCATATTTATAAGAAATACAAACCGCCATGGGTGGGAAACATCAAAACGCGCACTGAGGCTCCTCACTTGAAATCATGTAGGCCAACATTCTAATCAACCAAGCTATCAAAGCTGCCATCGGTCCGTGCAAGGAATGACCAATTAAAATGACATAAAAAATAGGTACGGTAATCAATGTTAGGAATGACCTGGTGAAATTAATATGTAATTATAATGATAGCAACTTGTATTATAACAAGGTCTCCTGGGAGCTATATAAAACTGGATTTTTGAAAAACTGAAATTTTAGCTGTTTAAAGATATATATATATATATGCAGTATACATTAGTACAATATATCTATCAGAGATGTTCCTCTTCACAATACTAAATCACTCTATTAAAGATAGAGACTTAAACCAATCATGTGAACACTATTGATGTACAACGCCATTAAAATACAGCCATTTTGATATTTAGTATTCACTTTCTAGGGGGCAGATCAGACTGATAGTCCTCAGTTTTGTTTGGCAAAGCTAAAGGTTGTTTGTTTGACGTTCGACTCTTTTTTGATGAAAAGTGATGTCTATTTGATTTGTGAATCTTGAAAGGTGCACATTCATTGGAAGAAGCATGAGGATGTCGACTTGGTGTTTGTTGACTTTGAGGAAAAACACCAGAGGTGGCCTGCTGAATAAGGTGACCAAAATGATTTTCGGTTTTTGAAAGAGATCCCTGAAATTGAAAAAGCTGTTCCATGATGTCAGATCCGTTGGCATTTCCCTGTGAACTCATCGATTGAGCCATCTTTGCCATCATCTGCCTCATGCCTGGCTGTTGTAACAACTAGAAAACAGATATCATGATTACAAATTCTGAGCAAACAGACTTGAGAAAAGTTACTACATAACTGTTTAAAAAAAAATACAAAATGCATCAACCCTTTTGGTATTCAGAAAAAATATTGATGTTGTATCTACCTACATTTTGTAAAAACTGTTGGAAACCTCTGCAATATTGCATTTTGTTGATGCAATACTTAAAAAAGAAAAATCAGTTTTAACATCAGTGTGCAGTACCGTTTAAAGTAAGGGAAGTAACCAAGACCCACATCAACTATTAAAACCGTAGCCTATTCCTGCCTATTAGGTAGAAATTCAAACCATAACTATAAATTTGATTCATTTTATGACAATTCCAAACAAGCAAGAAGCTTATATCAATCACTCTTATTGGCCCAAATGGAAGAACACAAAGGGTCTCACTGTGGGAGGAAACAGATTACTTAGGGAAAGCCAACATACTGGTAGTCTGGCAGGTGATCCCCAATACCTTTTCACACCTGAGCATGAATTGCAGAGGTGAAAGGCAAGCCTGCCTGTTACCACTGCAACAACCTGATCACCTAGTCTAAAGTGCTTAAGTTTTAAATTTTACTTTTAAAGATAAGGTAGAAAGCTATGTAAAAAGATACTATCTGGAGGAATAACCAACATTTACCTCTCATTGATTGTTTACTACATTGTGTTAGAAAACGCTAATAACATTACCTGCTATGTGCAGGACTAGAATGAGAGGTTTCTTAATTCCCTAGAAGGTACATATGCCATCAGATGATTTTCAGGCCTAACAATCTTACTGGTTCTGATTGTGGCCTAGATGACATGTGTTGCACCAGTAGATTGTAAAACCTAACAATCTTACTTACCTGTTGTGATTGACGACAAGAAGGAGTTCCACTTGGTGTTTGTAGACTTTGAGGAGAATTACCAGAGTATCCCTGCTGAAACATTTGCTTTAGAGCAGCTTTTCCTTCAGATCCCATTGATTGAGAAAGCTGGTCAAGGATGCCACATTGTTCAAGGAAGTCACCTCTATCAACATTTCCCTGTGAATCCATCATTTGATTGAACTGTGTAAACATCTCCATCATGCCTGGCAGTTGTAATGGCTAGAAATAATCAAGAAAAAGATTGATACAAATGCTTTATTCAGATTCTGAGAAAAGGATTGTGAAAAGATACTGAATATTTTAACTATATAAAACAAAATCTTTCTTGTTACTTTACATCCTATTAGCAGCTAAGGTCATTTTAATGACATGCTTGGTTTAGTAGGTGAAGGAAAATGCCTTGCAGACATGGATCACTCCAGTAGATTACAACTCCTCACAATCTTACCTGTCGTGGTTTAGGCTTTGTAGTTAAGTATCGATCCAATGTATCATGTATTAACCTCAGAGACCTCTGGACCTTGACATTTTCTTGATATTGTTTTATTTTTGTTGGATCCTCTTCAATTTCCCTGAATATTTGACTTGTCTCATGATCCTGAAATGAATAAGAATATGTGATGATTTTATTCAGTTTGAGTTATCTCCCTTCATGTAATATACATAATTAATGTAATTACCAATGATTGACTAATTTGTAAAGGAAACTGGTGTTTTCTATATATGTAATCATACTTTATAAGTGAATAAATATATACGTATTTTGGGTTATAAGATAGTTTTGGTGCTTTATTAATCTGTAAAATAATAAAACCCAGAATGTTACACCAAATTTTGTATAGAGGCTAATTGAAACCAGTACTGGGGGCTGGAAGTTCTGAAGAGACACAGAGTGTACAGCGTAAACGATAAGGTAAGCGTTGGCTGCATACTGTTACCAGAAGCTCCTGCATAAGGGGTTGCCTGAATAAGGCTACTCGGGTAACAGTGTACGTGTGGTTGGTGCCAGTAAGTTGACGAGTCAGGTACGCCAGAAGCTCCTGGATAAGGAGTTGCCTGCAAAGGCTGCTCTGGTACGCCTGGCTGCTGATACAAAAACTGACACCTTACTTTAGTACTTTGTAACAGCAGGACACTGGCAGGCGACGTCGGAGCTGTACGGTGGTCAGGTAGCCGAGGTATCCCGATCGCCTCTGGAGCAAGTAGCTCCGTATAAATTGAGAGCCCGGCGTGCACGCACGCTACCATAAGGGAGCACGTTACAAATATATTATGACTTACATTCTCCTTATTATAATGCGTACATTATCACAGAATTCTATGAATACCTATTAGGATCATTTTGAAAAACAAAACAAATTGTTTTTCTTAATTAAACAGAATAACTATCTCATTGAAACCCATTAGTTGAAATCAGTTTAAACCTAGGATCTTGTTTATGGTGATGATTATTTTTTTAAAATTTTACATTTCAAAAAACGTTAATTTAGCGTATCTTGTTTTAATGGGATAATTATCATTTTTAGGCAAAAAATATCTCATTTAAGTAGTCTTTTATCTTGTTATTTGTGAATAAGAAGACAAGTGGTCTTTCCTTGCAACCAAATAAGACCAAAATAAAGGGTTTTTTTTCAAGTGGTTTAACCTTTCACAGTAATCATGTTTTAGCTATCTAATATAAACAGGAAAGAGCAAGGAGAAAAACCACTTATAGTAACCCACTTACATTACTTGGCTAAAAGAATTTAACACAAGCCAAGACTTGTTAGGTGACTGACCTAAACTCACTTTTTTTTTAAGTTAATCTAACAAAGGTCATTATTTATTTCAATGCTGCTGACACATTCTGCAGAATTTTGTCTGAGATTGTTTTCCCTACAACTTGAAACATCTACCCACAACTACCCACTTCGAGACATCTACCCACAACTACCCACATTTGAGACATCTACCCACACCTACCCACTTCGAGACATCTACCCACAACTACCCACATTTGAGACATCTACCCACCACTACCAACTTTGAGACAACTACCCACTTCGAGACATCTACCCACTCCGAGACATCTACCCACAACTACCCACTTCGAGACATCTACCCAAAACTACCCACTTCGAGACAACTACCCACTTCGAGACATCTACCCACAACTACCCACATTTGAGACTTCTACCCACAACTACCAACGTTGAGACAACTACCCACTTCGAGACATCTACCCACAACTACCCACTTCGAGACATCTACCCACAACTACCCACTTCGAGACATCTACCCACAACTACCCACTTCGAGACAACTACCCACTTCGAGACATCTACCCACAACTACCCACTTCGAGACATCTACCCACAACTACCCACTTCGAGACATCTACCCACAACTACCCACTTCGAGACAACTACCCACTTCGAGACATCTACCCACAACTACCCACATTTGAGACATCTACCCACCACTACCAACTTTGAGACAACTACCCACTTCGAGACATCTACCCACAACTACCCACTTCGAGACATCTACCCACAACTACCCACTTCGAGACATCTACCCACAACTACCCACTTCGAGACATCTACCCACAACTACCCACTTCTACTTTTTGTATGTTTGATTGTATTTATATGTATAAGAAATGACGAACTTTCTGCCATTCTATGTTTAATTGCACATGTATTTATATGTATAAGAAATGATAAACTTTCTGCTTTGGTATGTTTAAATATATATATATATATATATATATATATATATGTATGTAATGTATAAGAAATAATAAACTTTCTGCTTTTGCTATCTAATATAATGTGTGTAATAAAAATAAATGAAACAAATTAAAATAAAATGTATTGTAAAGTACTTAGTGTAGACTACAGGTAGAATCTCAGGTAATAGTAATAGCTCACACAGGTAAAAACACAGGTAAATGAACTCAGGTGAAATCTATAGTTAATCTGAAACTGACTATAATTGGTTTTCTATTGTCTTCCTAAAACAACTTCTTTGTTTGAAAAAAGTGGGCAAATCGGGAACACCCCGATTCAAACCAAGATCACTCATCTGATGCTCAACTGATTGAAAGAAAAGCTCTCTAGCCAAGCGATATGTTCCGGCTAAGATTTTACCACGGTTACATTCATTGAGTCTGTATATCGAGTAGAAATTTAAATCATTATACTTTCCTTCTGATCACAAGTTAAATTCAATAATCTGTTACTCCAAAATCAGGAAGTGAAAACTGAATACTTGCTGTGAAAGCTTCCCGTATGGCAGGGTCAGAACATAAAGTTTCTAGTGTCAAGCTTTCCGGCGGTCCAGCTGTATAAGATAAATCATACTGTGAGTACTTCTTTGATTTGATGTTACTTACAAACACGTATACTGTATCTGTTTAATGTATATGTTTATTACATCAATAATAAAGTTGACAAAATATTATGACTTGCAAGCATTAGAGTGTAACAGGAAATATTGTATTGGTTTTAATTGTTGTCATACTTCTGATCTGGTTCTTAAGTGATAAATCATAACAAAAATAACACAATTACTTGAAGAGTATATCTATGAAGAATATATACGAGTTCAGTATCATTAAAGTTGTCAGTGTACATACCCAAGTCGTCGTCCATCTGGTATCATTTACAAGTCAAGTAAATCTGAAACCGAAAGTATGGGGCGATAACTCGCGATCGGTTATTGTTTTATTTCCGTTTTACAAAAAAAAAGCTTGATGAGCTCTCTCTCTCTCTCTCTCTCTCTCTCTCTCTCTCTTTTACACAATTTCCGGTGTGGCCAAGCTCATTAGATTCTGAAAAAAAAAACTAAAACATGTTAAAGTGGACAAAGCAGGATAATATTTTAGCTTTGTGTTAGCTATTTGGGCAGTCTGGAATCTGTGTCTACGCACCAAAAACTAGCGTTACAGGAAGTGAAATTTTCATAGTGTTCACATGTGGTCATGTTATGAAGAATTTCCGAGTTGGAATTTGCTGAAATGTAAGTACTTTGTTACCATGACAGTGTTGTTGATTGTAAGATAGGTGTTTAGAATTAAATTTCTCCTCTCTCTCTCTCTCTCTCTATATATATATATATTGTTTTTCATTTTATTTTATTTTATTTTAAACATCGATTGTTTGATAATTTTTGCTGAACTGGTTCAACGGTCTGTATTTGACATTGTGACACATGGTATTTCTACAATGTGCGAGAAGTACCCTTTCGCAGGAAATTTATGATAAATGTAGATTACATGTGTTCATAAAACTTCCAGATTCGCACCACTGTACTTGTGCGTTAGACTTACCAAAAACCTTTATGGCAAACCAATTTATTATTTATTCAAGGAAAACGGTCAACCCTGTATCCGCACGTTTACATAAGACAACTCATAAATCAAACTTTATTTCAAGTATTTAATTATATACAAGTATGGCATTTTATTTTGATAGATTTATAAACGTCAAATACCTGATGTCAATCTTGGACGTAAAATCCTTATATCGAATGGAACAAAGTGCCAGAGAGTGTTTTATTACATTTCAGTATCAAAACCAGAGCACAGAAAGTACATGTATGGTCCCCTAACATTTAAATTGCATCTTTTTTTCTGTAATGTTCATCACAGCTTCATGGAGACGTGTCCGACAAATATGATTGGCCCTGAAATTAAATGACTTCACAGAATACTTGAACGGCCGGACCACGCAATTCGATGTTAAATGGAGTAACACGTGATCGGATGTAGACAATCGGCGTTTGACATAAAACTAAAAAAGCAATGACATACAATTACGACACAACAACGCAACTTTGTGAATATTTTATATTTAAATGGGAAGTTTTCAGCATAAGTTTTGATTTCTGTACAGATGTGGTGTTTAACCAACTGCCGAAAACGTAATAACATCTGCATACGATCTTAATATAGATGAAAATGTTCGTGACATCTCGAATTAAAAGCACTATTTTCATCACTGACAAGCATACAGTTTAAAAATGTAAAAACATCTTTTGTATTCGTGCACTTGTAAGGTACGTGAGCCTACTGAGTACCGTATATCACTATACACTCAACACTATACGATTATACCTCTAGGGTACGATACGGCACGGTACGATTCAATACGGTACGATCCGTCACGGTACGATTCAATATGGTACGATAAAGCATGGTACGATGCGGTAAGGTATGGTGCGGTACGATAAGGTATGGTACGGTACGGTAAGGTATGGTACGGTACGATAAGGTATGGTACGGTACGGTAAGGTATGGTACGGTACGGTAAGGTATGGTACGGTACGATAAGGTATGGTACGGTACGATAAGGTATGGTACGGTACGGTATGGTACGGTACGATAAGGTATGGTACGGTACGATAAGGTTATTGTACGGTACGATAAGGTATGGTACGGTACGATAAGGTTATTGTACGGTACGGTAAGGTATGGTACGGTACGGTAAGGTATGGTACGGTACGGTTAGGTATGGTACGGTACGGTAAGGTACGGTACGGTACGGTAAGGTACGGTACGGTAAGGTATGGTACGGTACGGTAAGGTATGGTACGGTACGATAAGGTTATTGTACGATACGGTAAGGTACGGTACGGTAAGGTATGGTACGGTACGATAAGGTTATTGTACGATACGATAAGGTATGGTACGGTACGGTATTGTACGGTACGGTAAGGTACGGTACTGTAAGGTACGGTACTGTACGATAAGGTATGGTACGGTACGATAAGGTATGGTACGGTACGGTAAGGTATGGTACGGCACGATAAGGTTATTGTACGGTACGGTTAGGTATGGTACGGTACGGTAAGGTATGGTACGGTACGATAAGGTATTTTACGGTACGGTAAGGTATGGTACGGTACGATAAGGTATGGTACGGTACGGTAAGGTATGGTACGGTACGGTAAGGTATTTTACGGTACGGTAAGGTATGGTACGGTACGGTAAGGTATGGTACGGTACGGTAAGGTATTTTACGGTACGGTAAGGTATTTTACGGTACGGTAGGGTATGGTACGGTACGATAAGGTATGGTACGGTACGGTAAGGTATGGTACGGTACGATAAGGTATGGTACGATACGGTAAGGTATTTTACGGTACGGTAAGGTATGGTACGGTACGGTTAGGTATGGTACGGTACGGTAAGGTATGGTACGGTACGGTTAGGTATGGTACGGTACGGTTAGGTATGGTACGGTACGATAAGGTTATTGTACGGTACGGTAAGGTATGGTACGGTACGGTAAGGTATGGTACGGTAAGGTAAGGTATGGAACGGTACGATACGATACCGTAAGGTATGGTACGGTACGGTAAGGTATGGTACGGTACGATAAGTTACGGTACGGTAAAGTAAGGTATTGTACGGTAATATAAGGTACAGTACGATACAAGATAAGGTACAGTTCGGTACAGTATGATACATTACAATAACTTTTATTTAATGTCAGATGTGTCCAGCATACAACAGTAAACTCTACAGAGCTTGTACTTCGACAAACATAGATTATGTAAAATGAATAAAACACAACTAAAATTAGTGTAGGAAAAACAGTTAAACATTGTCATAAAATTATAATAAATTGATAAAGAAAAATGTTCTTTATCAATTATCACAAAGCAAAGCAGCAAAACATAGGCATAGTCGTATGAGAGAGACAAACGTAGCATGTCTCTTGATATCACAGAAATGAAAGTATAACAAAATGGTAAGCAAACTAAGATCTCAGCGCGTGCAGAACAAAATGGTAAGCAAGCTAAGATCTCAGCGCGTGCAGAACAAAATGGTAAGCAAGCTAAGATCTCAGCGCGTGCAGAACAAAATGGTAGGCAAGCTAAGATCTCAGCACGTCCAGAAATTAAACTAAAAACGCATATGATGCGGAAAGCAATAGTCTAAAAAAACTGGTCACAAAAAAAAAAAAAAAAAATACAAAAAAATTAATCACAAAAACTAGTCACAAAAAATCTAATCACAAAAAAACTGATTACAGAAACTAATCACAAAAAAACTGATTACAGAAACTAATCACAAAAAACTGATTACAAAAACTAATCACAAAAAAACTGATTACAAAAACTAATCACAAAAAAACTGATTACAAAAACTAATCACAAAAAAACTGATTACAAAAACTAATCACAAAAAACTGATTACAAAAACTAATCACAAAAAAACTGATTACAAAAACTAATACACAAAAAAACTGATTACAAAAACTAATCACAAAAAAACTGATTACAAAAACTAATCACAAAAAAACTGATTACAAAAACTAATCACTATAAAACTGATTACAAAAACTATAAAACTGATTACAAAAACTAATCACAAAAAACTGATTACAAAAACTAATCACAAAAAAACTGATTACAAAAACTAATCACTATAAAACTGATTACAAAAACTAATCACAAAAAACTGATTACAAAAACTAATCACAAAAAAACTGATTACAAAAACTAATCACTATAAAACTGATTACAAAAACTAATCACTATAAAACTGATTACAAAAACTAATCACTATAAAACTGATTACAAAAAACTAATCACAAAAAAACTGATTACAAAAACTAATCACTATAAAACTGATTACAAAAAACTACTCACAAAAAAACTGATTACAAAAACTAATCACTATAAAACTGATTACAAAAACTAATCACTATAAAACTGATTACAAAAACTAATCACAAAAAAACTGATTACAAAAACTAATCACAAAAAAACTGATTACAAAAACTAATCACAAAAAAACTGATTACAAAAACTAATCACTATAAAACTGATTACAAAAACTAATTACAAAAAACTGATTACAAAAACTAATCACAAAAAACTGATTACAAAAACTAATCACAAAAAAACTGATTACAAAAACTAATCACTATAAAACTGATTACAAAAACTAATCACTATAAAACTGATTACAAAAACTAATCACTATAAAACTGATTACAAAAACTAATCACTATAAAACTGATTACAAAAAACTAATCACTATAAAACTGATTACAAAAACTAATCACTATAAAACTGATTACAAAAACTAATAAAAAAAAAAACCCAGCTTGCAATGCAAACTGATCCGTCCTAGGCATGCAACTGCCTCTCGAACATTCTATCATCGTCTTCCTCTCTGATGATAATTGTGAAACGGTTCCATACCGGGACGGTCTCGCATCTGAAGGATCTTAGACCAAAGTGTTTACATGTTACACTGTTATGAATAAGTTTACCTTGTTTGGTCAAACTTTTACATATTCTCTTTAAAACAGTAAGTTGCGTGGATTAAAAAAAATATCCGATAAGTCTTTATCAAAGTTTTACATAGAGACAATACAATTACACCGTGACATTGTCGTCATATTTTTTGTGGTGTTCTGATTGAAATTTTTCAGGGTTTGCCTGCACAAAAATATTTTTGAAATAATAAGACCATGAATGGCAAAAGATAATTTATTGTCATCAGCATATTTATATATAAAGAAAAAAAAAACAGAATAGATATCTCTTAAGAAAATATCAACAATTAAAGATCCTAGAATTAACCCTGGTGGTACCCCCTTAAAACAGTTTTTCTAATTACTGACATTATGACCAA